TATATTAAATTATTTATCATATAACAAATGAATTGTCTTTAATTATTAATGTATCTTTTTCTTTTAAAAGAATTTATTAATGTAACATTTTACTATTTACTGTTTAGTAATTACTTATTGATCCACAGCTTCTGATAGCAAGTCTAACTCATTACTCAGTAACTCCTCGTCTCTTATTCTTCTCAACACACACATGCCTTTTAGCCTCTATAATGCACACTTCCACCGTTTGACAACCACACATTCTATACCTCTACAAAAGTACATACATGACCATGCGAATCTGCAATTGATCCTTGGTATTGTACCATGTTAAAGGATTTGTAACTTCAACTTTTGATATGTTAGTACAAAACCGTACCAACCAAAAAAGTTGGTATCAAGTACAGTTAGTTGGTACATGGTATAAAATATTTAAATACCAATTATAATTGGTTGGTACACGAAATTGAAAAAAAACATTGTACCGTACATGTTCACCCCTATTGTGCACCTAATTTGCTGTGGAAATCTATTCCATAGAATATTGATATTACTAATGACAACCTTAGGGATGGCAAAAAAAATCGAAACCGATGGTGAAAACCGAAAACTGAAGTGGAGATTTTAACGGGGACGGGGGCGGGGATGGTGATCACCGGCCCGGCCCAGCTCGATATGTATATATATATATATATATATATTGTGTGTATATATATATTTATATATATAATATCATTAAAAGAAAATAATATCATTAAAATTTAAAAGACTTTTATGTACTTTACCTCAACAACCCAAATAAAGCTCACGAAAAAGTCTAGTTTATTTGTTTAAAATCGTGATTTTAGTTGTATGATGTTTGAATTTCTGTTTAGTTTTATATTGTAATCTAATACATTGTTTGTAATGGTTCGATTATGTTTGAGACATTTAAACTTACATCTTTAAAAAATAATTTACTTTTAATTGCGAAAATTAGCATATTCTAATTTTTTTCAGATCGGTTTCGGTTTTGGGTTCGGGTTCGTTATAATCAACAGTGAAGAGAGGATTTTTACTCTTAACAGGTTCCTCAACGGGGATCGGGGAAACCGCAGGGACCCGACGGGGATCGGGACGGTTACAGAGACGGTTTTAACTATCGGTTTCGGGATGGGGATACCAATACCCGACCCGTTGCCATTCCAAATATTTCTAGGCACTTTTGGTCTCTAAAGCCCAATATCAAACAATATTAATTTGAACCTAATACATAAACTAAAACTCAACTCGTTATCTCAAGTTCGTTTTTTGTAATTCAACATTTACATTTTTAAGTACATGAACATGAACATGTTAGATATTCGACATTTTCCATGTGGGTTTGTCGACATCAATCAATATGGATAACATTTCAATTTAATTTTGGAAAGATAAAATTGAATGACCAATGATAAGAATTGGCATTATGTTGTTTATACACACAATTGAAGCATTCATCATCCGACATCATGAACGTAGTAATTTAAATCGTATTCCCGATCTGGGACCGTCAAAGAGCGTATTATGGTTCGAGTTTGTCGTGTTTTTGAAATGAAAATTGGTTCACATATACATGTTTTTTTCAAAGAAAATGAATAATACTTCATAAATACAAGTATTTACGACATCAAACCTTACATTATTTGGTAAAACGCATCGTATAAAATTTGGTGCAAACAATAATTCTTTACAATATTTTCAACAAAACAGATATTTTAAGCATATTTATTTATATCTTCAATTATATAAATTTTTCACAATAATACTCTTATGTTTATTAAATTTACAAATTATATAACCGACAACGCAATTTTGTTCAATGAATCATGGTATAAATGATTTGGCTAAGGGGTTGTTGCTGAATTGTTTGGTGCAGAATGATTAAGATATTCTCATGATATAATGCAAAATGAAATATAGTTGTATGCTAATTGTTTACAATGAAATTAGGGCGTTGAATGATTAAGGAAGATCATGGATACAAAATCATTCATAGGGTTTTAGAATCATTAAGAGACATATTCTTTTTTTTGTCAATGAAGATTCATCTCTTAACGATTCAGATGCTGCCTCTTAATGAAACTATTAAGAGGTAAACAATCAACTCTTAAGATGTCATGCTATGTCCAAACAAATATGCATGATGAAAAAAGAGAGAGAAAGATATTTTTACTTGTGTATGTATTTGATATATGGAATATACGTTTGTGCTTGTATGGTGTATATGTGTATCAAAGGACATCATAGTCCTCGATTATATATATATATATATATATATATATATATATATATATATATATAGGGTTGGGTTCATCTATAACCAAGAGTTTTTTGTGAGACCCGTAAGACAATTTATATTCATTGATCAACTTTATAAACTAATGATCTAATGGTCTAAAGGTGCACGGTGACAATTTTGTGATTATTGAGAAGTCTCGTTACAATTTTGTGATTATGAATGTTTAGATTATAGATCTAATCCAAGGGTTGAGAATTGGTCTTACGAATTTCACCAAAAATCTTTGGTCTCACATGATCCAATGTCTCTCTATATGTGTGTCTATTATTGCGTTTAATATATATGTGCATTATTCAAGATGATAGTTTAGTTGTTAATTAATTAAGTGTTTTATTAAATTAATGATTATAATTATTTTGTATTGAAATTAGAAACAAAGTTATGATTGATTTTCTCCATTATTAAGCCATAGTGGTCACCTAAAACAAATTATGAGAATACACATATTTCACTTCACCCACTTATATTATCAAATTTTGGCAAATAATACCCTTCTACATTGTAAAATGGCATTTTAAATTTATTAGCACTTATCAGATAAAATCATACCAGATCATCTTTATTCTATAGTTAGACATGTTATCTTCGATTCGTTATACGTCTTGATTATTTTGTCCAAAATAGAAATATATAATTGAAAATTTATAAAAAAAAAATCAATAAAATATTTTATTGAAAAAGAAAAAATAAAATAAAAAAGCAAATAGAAAGTTGGAAGATGGCCAAGGTGTCTAATGATCAAAAGTCAATATAATCCATGATCCCATACATACTTATTTTTATTTTTTATTATTTTATTTTGGAAAAATAATGAATTATTAATTATTATCATCTTAGGTGGAAATTTAGAGTCAGAAACCAAATGACCCTACAGTATGTGAGTTTTTGGCTTTCTAAAAGGTTAGAGGTTCAAAACTCAATAAAATATGTGAAGTAAATACAACAATTTACACGGTAAATGCTAATCGTGGTAAGAGTCATCGCTTTCGCTTGCTAGGTAAGACTCCCGATACTTGTTTTTGCTCTTACGAGGTAAAATTCTTAGTACTTATTATATTTATCCGGTAAGGTAATGTTACTTGATAAACACTTATCCATAACTCAATTTATAAATCAAACAACAGTTTATAAAATAATTATATACACGTTTTATTTATTTTAAATTCATATTTATATGAATTTTTTATTGCAAACCTTTTTTGAAAATTAAATATGAAAAATATTATGCGTGGACTTTGAAGTTGAAGCCAACATTTGACTCATTGACATAAGTTGTCTACGCGGTTTCATACTCTTTTTTTGGTGTTCACTCAATTATCTAATAAACCTTCAAACTTTATTATTTTTAGCCTAATTTTTTATATGGTGTCGACTCTGATATTTTATGATAATTAGGGGTGCTCAAAAACCCGACTAACCTGATCAATTCAACCCAACATGAAATAACTCAACCTGAAGCAATTCGATGTGTAATCGAGTTGTAAAATTTTCAAGACGTAGGTATTGGGTTGATATTGAGTTATTATTATTTGAACCCAACTCAACCCGATGAACTTGATATCATTTTATTTCTTGGATTTAATATGATTGTTGAATTTCTATCAATATATACATTAGACAATTACACTATCATGTACGTTCTTCATATACACGTATTTTCAATCTATTCACATCTCTATATAACTCATTCGTATATATATGTTCAGCAACTGTGAACATATATATGTAAATTAAGAAAATTAACTGAATATGATATATAAAAAGTATGAATAAGTTGTATCAAATGGTTGATGATGAAAAAGAAATTATGAGTAAATAAATAACATATTCAAGGTTAGAAGAATATTTTAATGCATCAAAATATCAACCCGACCAACCCGTACGGTTTGGGTTGGGTTAAGATTTTTCAAACCGCAAGCATTGAGTTGAGTTGTACAAATGTCTTCAACACGATCAACCCAACTCATGAGCACTCCTAATAATAACCATCAGATTATATATTTACTTGTAAACGGAAGTTTTGACTTTTTATTTTATTGAATGTTACTAATCGTTGTTAATTTCAGCTCCACCAATCGTTCATGAATGAGAGGTATGTTTCGTTTTGAATCTGTGTGATTGTGGACCAATCAAGTTCCGTAGATTTAGTTGGGCAAATTTCGGACACTGTTGTTACCGAGAAATATAGCATATGATTCAGTTGTTTAACAGAATATCGAATCATGACTTCTTACTTTTGTATAATAAAGAAATTTAAACAAAAAAATGTATTTGTATAGCTTCCAGATGTTTATTCAACAAAATCAATCTGTATATACGATAAAACTTGTCACCTACTGTGACGATGAGGGTACGAGACTAGACCCGCTTCACTCGCTTTGTTATGAAATTGCAAGTCTTGTGCGAATATGAATGCATTCGCTTTCCTCTCCTCTGGTAGAGAAAAAGTAAAATGAAATTCATAAAAATGTTTAGTTTGTGAATACAGGTTTTTGCACGTGTTGTTTTACATGTGAAATGTACAATATTGTTTTGTATATAAAACATACATGATTAATTCACATGTGAATAAAAACATAAATACATTTCGTATATGAAATACACACACGCACAATAACAAAACGTATGAAACAATCGGATCGGATCCTAGCTTAAAATAAACTAATTGAATGGTTATGACTGGTTTTCACGCGTTTATAAATTATAGCATTTGAATGGTTTTTTTTATCTGATTTACCCCTTCCTCCATTATTCAATAAAAGGCAAAAGCGTACAATACGTATGATGGTCTCCATAAACTATACATTTTAATACACGTTGAATAATAATCTGTAATAAAATCAAATAAACATCAGATATTACATTACAAGATCTGATCTAATACTTAAAATCAATGACCATAAAGAATAAAATCAGGAGGAGGAACGCTTGAGAGGCCAAAGTCTCTTCCGGGACCGTACCTCGGATAATGGAGGATCTTCCGGGACCGTAGAGCTACATGCACTTCAACAAGATTATAACTTAGAGATTATGATCGAGTTTAACGTGAAAGAACAAGATCACGAAGAAAAAAAAACATACCTTGAGAAGTTATGGTCGTTGATTTTTCTGCCCCGATTACTAAAAAGTTTAAAATCAACACGATAAAACAAAGAAGACCAACAAGTTTACGATCCATTTCCTTAACTTTTTCTGCTTATTTCTCCAGTTTGAACGCTATATGTGCATTCACACACGAGATTTATAGATATTTTCTTGTATATCATACTATTATTCTTCAAGATAGTGTTGTAAGCATAACAGAGATAGTGCCGCAAGCACAAAAATCAATAACCAATCTAGAAAATTTTGAGTGCAGTCGACCTAACATAGTACAATACTTACATAGCGTATCACTATGCAAGTGTCAAATCACATACATACATAGCGTTTTCAGACGTTATCACCTATCTGCTATATCGAAATCTGGTCAAATCAAACATTAAAAATGTGAAAAGTAAATATCGATGTTGATGTATGTGAATAGAAAGCTAATAGGTTGTAGACATCAATAAATAATAGGTGTCCATTTAACGTATTCAATATTTTATAGTCATGAAAAAATCTGTGTCTGCTACTATCAAGATTATATTTCTTTTCCATGACAACTATATAAAAAAATATCAAAAATAAATATCACCCATATTTAAAAGCGGTTTTTTAATCGTATTGATTGCACTTGTATTTTCTAAAAGTAACAACTTTATCGTACTAAATATCTTTTTACATCTCAAAATAAACACATCTTTTAGGGTTCTTCGAAATGTTAAAAATATGTAAAACTTTTTATGTCTTTTACTTAAGGCTGTTTGACAGTTGCTGAATGGTTTGATGTAGAATGATGAAGTGATCAAAATAATTAAGAGGCTGACATGATATACTGCAAAATAGGGATGAGCATAGGCTAGTACCGGCCCTATTTGACAAGAACCGAAACCGAAACCGGCGGTTCTTGAGATATTGGAACCGGAACCGGCTATAACGGTTTTTGAATTTTTGGAACCGGTTCCGGGTACCTGCTTTCTAAAATATTAAAATTTTGTTATTTAAAAATAAAAAATAAAACATTGCCAAAACATTAAATAAATAAACAAGAATACAAATTATATGGAATAATGGCTACAAATATTGTTTGACGATTACAAACCATAATAGACTAATAATAAATGTTGAAAGTTTAACGATTACATACTATAATTGTAAAAGTTCAAAGTATAACGATTACATACTACGAATCCAATTAAACACACAATTTGAAAAAATACGAATCATTTTATCTAAAATTCTAAATCTAGAGTTCTAAATTCTTGACCTAATTTAAATTTAGTATTAAAAAAATAATTTTTTTTAATTGAAAAATACCGGGGCGGTCCCAACGGGTAACGATTCCAAAAAATTGAAAACTGGAACCATTCTCAATCGGTTCCGTATTTTAGGAACCGGAACCACTCATATTCGGAACCGGCAGTTCCAAAGCAGTTCCGGTTCCGCTACTCACCCCTAATGCAAAATGAACTATAATTATTTGATAATTATTTACAACGAAATTAGGGCGTTAAATGGTTAAGAGAGGTCCATAATACAAAATCATTCAGAAAGTTTTAGAACCATTAAGAGACATTTTTTTTTTGCCAAACAAAATTCACCATTTAACAATTCAGATGTTGCCTCTTAATAAGACTATTAAAAGGTAATCAAACAAACCTCTAACTTTAGTTTCTCTTTTTGGATTACTTTTTATCTTATTTTTATTAACATTTTTGTAAATGAAAATAGTGTTGGATTTTGCCAAAGAATGGTGTGTTCTAATGTTCTTCTCCCGGCCTTCCAACCCTTTGTCCCCGTTCCTGTCCCCGTCCCCGATGGCTACAGGGAATTGAATCCCCGCCTCGTTTTTCTATTGGACCTATCCCTGGTCCATCTCCGATTCAACAAAAAATGGTCATTGGTTGAAAAACAAAACGTATATTAACAAAAAAGACATTTTTAATCAATACATTTACATTCAAGGACGGAGATGAGGAGGGTTGAGGAGTACATTACCCTATCCTGCCCCGACCCCGGTTTTCAACATGTCAGGATCCTTAGATTCCGTACCCGTCTTAACATGGAATCCCGGCCCCAACCCCTAGTTTTCAAAATGTTGGGGATCCCGAACTTGGTACCTGTTTTTACATGAAACCCCCGGCCCCGACAGGACGGGCCAAATCATCATGAAACCATGTATTATGAAATACCAAAAGTTTTGCACCTGATACCATGTATTATTAAATCTTTGCAAATAACGTCTTTAAACCTTGTAAAATATGCATTCTTAGCACCTTTTAGCAACCCGTTTTCAACCAACTCTAATCTCATCCTAATACCAAACGCAATCTTAGGGGCTGTTTGTCAAATGCTTTCTGGTACGAGTCTATCACCCCCACTTCTCTTATCGGGTAACATTCCCAGCCATCAAAGTGTATTGATAACAAGCTCTTACTGGGGGGTGTGAGTCACCACCCTCACTTACCGGGCAAAACTCTCAATCCTTACCTTCCCTCTTACCGGGTAAGATTCTCAGTCCTTCATATGCTCATCCGGTAAGATAATTGACCCGTTAGTGCTTGGTAACGGCCTCTTAATTCCTGAGCGAGAACAGAATCTAAGGCTTGTCAACTAGTGATTGGACCATGGTTGCCATAATCTCTAGATTCCATTAAGTAATTAAAAGGTGATGATGAATGAGAAGATGTAGCAACATTATATGATAAAAGCTTGGTAGTAATTAATAAGAATGGGAATGCTTTAGAAACCTGAATTCAGTCCTTTCAGTAGCGGCTTCTACAAACCTACACCAACTATCTGATTTTCTCTTCAATTTTGCAATTGAAGCAGGCAAAAGGATATACTAGCAACCTTTTTCATAGATTATATCTCACATTCCATCTGCCATTAGCATCAGCAGTAAATGTCCAATTATTTTCCCTCACCTGTACATATGGAATCTGCAACAAGATATGCAGCAAAATGAGTTTTCCAAGATTTACAAAACAGCAGTGAAAGGAACTCAACCACATTGCAGGATCTAATTGTGAATCCAATTACAGGTCTTCATGAAGGGATATACATATAAGAGTGTGTGTGTGTGTGTATAGAGAGTGAGAGTGAGAGAGAGACTGGGGAAGGGGTCATAGGAACTTCATTAGACAAAGTAAAGCAAGGTTCCTTTGGTGTGAAACAACTTAGTTTCAATGAAAATACCTTGTCAACGATTTCATAGCCAACTTTAAGCCTAATGTCTTGATCTTTCTGAAAATCAAGAATGTTCCAAACCAATTCAGCGGCTCCACTTGGTCTTGGCTGTTAGAAATACATGCATATCATAAGAGAAGCACAACACTATGTAAAAAAAATCCTTCAATAGTAACTAACTAATATGTACAAGTGCTTGACCTATAGTTTATTCGTTGGGCATTACACCATGATATTTTATTCCAAATGTCAACAATCTTCCCTAAATCAAACACAGATCATTATGGTGGTTGGTGGATGTCCCCTTCAAACTTGAAGTTGTGTTCTTATGGTTTGTTTGGTACAAGAGCAGCACAAGACTGGATGGGCGAGAGTGAGGTAGGTGGGTGAAAAAATTGTAGAAGGTTTTAGAGTTTAAATTTGACATGAGTAGTTTAGTAATTTTCAAAATGTCTCATCTCCCTCATTTTTGTTCCAGCTATTTCAGTGGGGCAGAAAAATGTATCTTTGTCCCCCCCCCCCTCCAAACCTGTCCTTTTTACCAAATATGAGCCGACAAATTTCTAGATTGTCCTGTCTTATGTACCAAATGCATGCTTAGTGAACAAAATCTTAAACAGCATAACTAAAACACCAACCTGTTTAAATTCTTTATCAAGATCACAACGTCCCTTAACAACGAAGCTGGCAAATCGATCAGGTGTCAGAGAAAATGACTTTTTCCCACGCATGGTATAATGAAGTTTTTCACGTCTATCATACTGCAATCCGACTCCAACTGTTGCTGAAAGCTATATATACCGCAAAGAAAAGTTAAATTTCAGGATAAAAAGGTTTGAATGGGTAAGAAATTACAATTAGTTGCTGAAGTTGGTAAATTTCAGCAATAAAAAAATGATGTCATACTTCAGGCGGGAAGTATCTAAGGAGTGCGCTGAAAAATGTTGGAGCCCCGATCCTTGTATCAAGTTCTCCATTAAGCTGCCAGTGTCAAGAAGTACACCAAAATAAACAAAGTTATCAAATCGCAATGAACTTTAAAGTTTGGGCTGAAACTCACACAATTTTAAGCACTGGCCAACAAATGCAAAGGAACGTTTCCGTGAAGACACGATGTTTCGCAAGTACATAACCCTTTCCATAGAACAAATGTTTATGTGAAGACACGATGCTTATGAAAAATTGTTTCACAAGTATATACAGAAAACATAGAAACAGAACAAGAAGCTAAACTTCCCTAAATCTAGGGAAATTGACCAACTTCACTTTTTTGCCAGAGTTTACGCAAAAACATATCTGCTCAAGGATTCAAATTTCTGTATAAGGATCCTTACCCATATGTGTAAGAATTTTTTTTCCCAGAAATCAGTCTTTAGGCATATGGATAAAGAGATTGGCTATTTTAGGAGGAGGCGGCTAAAAAGTGAATTTGGTTGATGGAACTATTTTAGTCAATTTCCCCCTCAATCTATCTCAACTTCCATGGCCTATCTTGTTGCAATATGATAGATCTTCAGAATTGAGGACGTGATAATCACTGTCCTTAAAGAATATTAGCCCCCACTATTTTCGCTGGTGGTTCGAGACTAATTTCTTCCCACGATTCAACCTCAACTAACAGAACTTTATGCAGCGTACATAAAGTTCACATGAACATCAAACGATTGTAATTATGTATGTATTGAAAGTGTCTCAGAGAAGGTTATCTGATCATATGCACCCTTTATATAGTAGTTAAAATGAACCAAAAATAACTACCATTTTCCCTCCAAAAGCCTCCTAAATGACTTTCAAACAATTGAGTGGAATAGTACTTATTTAACACACTTTCATTTTTCTTACCCACCTATGTGGGATACATAATACAAAATTGTAGATAAAACCCATAAGTTCCAACATATCTAACGGCTCCCCGTCTCACATTCAACCTCTCCAATCTCCAATCCTTCCAACCACATTAGCTACAGGTCCCTTCTGCTACCCAAGTCCCTTCATTAATTAGTTTATAATGATTAATAAACCATATAAACCACATGGTGCTTAGGTATACGTATCATTTTGGTACAGAACAATGTCATGAAGCTCACATCATGAAGCGACTAATCTAAAAATCCGTTCGTCTAAACAAACAGAAAAATGCAGCACAAATCGAGGTATAATTCGATTCACATAGACATCGATGCACCAAAAGTGACAAATCAAACTCACAAAATATTGTACTATTTACAGAAATTGGCGAAGAGTAAAATCATTATGAAACCCACACGATTCCTAGATACAAATGGAACTGGAATTAGATGCTTTGGATATGGGAGTACCTGAAGTCGAGTGTTGGAATCGATCCGGAACTTCTGCTTAGCATGGATTTTGAGGGCGCTGGCATCACCGGCGTACCTGACTGTAGGAGGCTTCTTGTTTGTATTGACTCTGAGGGCGGTGGAATCTCCGCCGTATCTGAGAGAAGTCTCCATTTTCCTCTGCAGATTGAGAAGAGTTGGTAGTAAAACCCTAAAAGGGATACGGCCAAGAGTATTTAGACCCTTTTTCCCTTTCCATTACACTCAAAATATTATAATAATATTTATATTATCTAATTTTCTTTTAAAAATTGCTGATTTTCTTTACATTACTATTTTTTTTAAATAGAAATCCACATTTTTAATAAACAAATTCAAGTTTTATTACCGTATAAGGGGTTATATCACAGTTGCCGAATGATCTGGTGCATAATGATTAAAGGGTTATTTGTTTACTTTTTAATAGTTTTATTACGTGGCAGCCTTTGAGCAGTTAAGAGGTGAATCTTGTTTGGCAAAAAAAAAATTGTCTCTTAATGGTTCTAAAAATTCTTTTAATGATTTTGTATCTTGGACCTTCCTTAACCATTCAACGTCCTAATTATACTCTTAACAATTAACAAACAATTATATTTCATTTTGCATTATATCATAAGAGTATCTTAATCATTCTGACTGCTTAATCATTTTGTACTAAATCATTCAGCAACTGTCAAACAACCCTAAGTGATCAGAATTAAGAGGCTCTTATGATATAGTGCAAAACGAAATATAATTGTTTACAATGAAATTAGGACGCTGAATGGTTAAGGGAGACCCATGATGCAAAATCATTAAGATGGTTTTAGAACTATTAGAGACAAACTTTTTTTCATCAAATAAGATTCATCTCTTAATAATTCAGATATTGTCTCTTAATAGAACTATTAAGGGGTAAACAAACAACTCATAAGTTACAACTCCATGGTATTTTTAAGGGTTCTTCTAGTAGTACGATAACATCATCATGATTATGTTTATTAACAACTAATTTTTATCAAACATGTTATGTTCATTAACATAACAGCTAGTTTATCAGCTAATTTGTTAAATATAGCCTAAAGCTAAATAATTAGAAAACCTTTTATTTTTGTTACCAGTTATTTAATATGACAAAACATATCAGTGATTTGTTTTAATTATATTATGTAACTGTAGAATCGAATAATTTTTTAATGTCTTTTTATCGTCTAGTTTTACCAAACATGATTAGTTTATCATCTGGTTTTCCAATGGATAGCTTATCAACTAGTCTACAGAACATAGTTTTAATGGATCGAACTCTATAACACCAAATGTTGGACTTAACTCGTTAAAATTCAGAGACGAACATGTTCAAATGTTTCAAATTCATACAATCAAAATATAAAAAGTATTTGACACCGAGCACTATTCACAACAAAATTACGGAGTTCTTAAAATTAAGGGGTTGTTTACCAAACACTTACCCAGTAAGCGGCTTATCGGTAAAATTTAACACCATCATTTACTTACCGGGTAAGATTTTAGTCCACCAATACGGTATCGTATGCAACAATTTACCCGGTAAACGTTTACCGTGGTAGAAGTCATCACCCTCACTTACCAGGTAAGACTTTTGGTCTTTCTCTCGCTCTTCCGGGTAAGATTCCTGGTCCTTACCATATTCATCTGGTAAGGTAATGTGACTTGGTGTTCACTTACCTAAGTAAGCGTTTAGTAAACGGCCCTAAATCAAGCTCAAACCACATTCTATTTCTTTAAGTCGAACTCGAACAACCATCTACCGGATTCAATTGAGACCCCACAAAACAATATCCATGCATGATGCATTTATAACCATTCTCTTATTACTTCAAAGCAACCCCATCCTTCAATATTGTTGCATCATCAAAGATGACACAATACCAACTTCACTAAAAACTCAGGTCTATTTCATATAAAAATTAAGTTTCTACATAATGTCATAAAAAAACAACACAAAATCTCATTCAAAATCTAGGTTCATAAACTACTGACGTAAAGTCGTTACGTTGAACAAAAGACAACCAATTCCCGACAGCTTTAGCACAACAGATAAGGAGGTGGACATCCTTACAGAATGCAGCATAACCGAACGCCATTGAAGAGCATTAAGTCCTACCGATTAAATATCTTCGACAAACTCAAGAAGATCATCAACTTCCTGCTTCAAAGCTGTGATTTTCTGCTGGATTGAAGCCACACGGTTCTCGATATCCCGCCCCCCGGATTTTTTCTCATAAGAGTCCACCACTGTTGTGTGTTTTAGCATAATCTTTTCTTGCAGATCTCTCTCCTTTACAACCAACTCCTCCACCTGTGCACCACAAATGAAAAACAATGACTTTCTTTTTTTAAATAATTGTCCAGGCCAGCTTGTACACACCTCGACTAATCTCATGGGTCCTTGAAGATAACAACCAGAAAAACTCGAACCGGCGACCTATGGGGAGAAGCCCCAAGGCCTAGTCTTAATCTGCCAGTTCAGCTGACCCTCAATGTTAAAAACTAATGACGAAGGATAAACAAGATGATGTATATTAGTATATTTACCCTTCCTTCTGTAAATTACGTGATAAAAACAAATTTGTTCCCAAGAAGGAAAAAGAACAAAAGCCTCCATGGCGAAGCGTCGGAAAAGCTAAAACAGCAATAGCTAGTCTAAATGTGATAAATCTGGGGGTTGTATGCATACCTTGGGTAATATATGTGCAGCTTGTGGAGAAGATTGTAAGAAAGCCAAAAGGGGCTTTAAGTCTTTGGAAAGGTCCTTCAACAAACTGTCGGCTGATTTGCGGACTGCTTTACAAGCTTGGACATCTCCTGTTCTAGAAAGTTCTCTTAATGAAGCTTCTAGTTTGTCATGGATCGCTAGACAATGATTAATGATATCGTGGAGTTGCTGAATAGTTGCCTGCACCTGAAAAAGAAAAGAACACCATTCATGATTCAGAGATTTCTTATAAACAACAATAATCTAATTGGATGTAATCTACACGTACCTCATCCCATTGAAGTTTTGCCAAATAAGAAGCAGAAGTCTTTGAGATGGTAAAGTCGGCATGCATATACACGATGCAAGCAACAAATAGGGAGAAAAAGCCAAATATCAACATCAAAGGTTCCGTAAGCAATGAAAGGTTGCTGAACTTGTAGTAGACCTGAAAAGGCAAAGGTCAATATATATATATAATATCAGACTATGTACCACATATCTCAAGACTTTGTTAAGAAGTTTATAATCTGATTCAATGAAGTTAACTTTTCTGATATCAGTAAAATCCAACATGGTTGCAGTTTGATTACCTGGAAATACTGGTTATGCTCTGGGACAACATTAACCTTTTCTATTACAACTGTGGGTCTACCAGCAATATCCAAATGGGAAAACTTTGTCTGCAAAAAACACCATAAGACGGTCAACAGAATTTCAATGGAAGGGGGATTAATTACTAATATCTGGTTTAGCAGTACCTCTCGTGACTGTTTTGCAGAGAATGGAATTGAAACATATATATCTTTTGATCCCTCTGGTAAAACAACCTGCAGTCAAAAGGAACAAATCAGGCTTAGAGAAAATATCAAAACCCGGATAACAAAACAATATACAAATTAGTTAGAAATTTGATTCAGTTCTTAGCGGTGGCTTAAGAACAAATGATAGGTCCAGAAGAAAGCTAATGATGAACGTGGATAACATCATTTCAGGTTGACAATTGGATCACAAATGAACTACACCAAACAGTGAGTTTAAATTCAATCTTTTAGAAAAAGCTACCTTCAAAGTAAGGTTTTCAACGAGCACATCATTCATGGGTGAACCAAATGAAATATTAAGGAAGCGGGATCCCCCTGATTGAAACAAGAAGTCTCGAAGTGGCAAACCATATCCGATGGTGAATGAAGTCTTCCAACCACCAAACATAGGATATCGAGGTTCAATTTCCAGTAGTGTCTGCAAATTCATAGGAATACTTAAGAAAAACAGGATAGAGCTCAAATTTTTGTTCATACTGAACATAATAATCCCACCTTGCTTGAATCACCATATATATTAGATGTTGAAATATTGCCAATTGCATCCCTGTAGTATATCGAATGGGCTCTTGGTGGTAACATGGCAATAAGATTCCTAAAAGCTGATGCACCTCGCACATTCGGTCTAGCCTGGTAGTCCAGCCTGGATATAGTCGAATTGGCAATGTCAAGCTCTCAAGTCACCAAAATAGCAATGCAAACTAAACCAAACCAAACCAAACAAATCCAGTATATCCCACCCGGAGGTGGGGTCTGGAGAGGGTGATTGGGTGAGATGTACGCAGACCTGACCTCTACCTTAAGAGTAGAGCGGTTGTTTCCGTGAAGACCCCTGGCTTGTGCGGAAAAGAATAAAACTTGCTCAAAAGATTGACGTGAAAGACCATGAAAATAACTAGAAAAAAAAGGAAGGCAGTGCCAAAATGCTGAAATGTGTTAGGAGTAAGCAACAACACACAAACAGACAGGCAAACAACAAACGAAGCATGCAAACAAAAGTATGTTATGAACTGGAATCCAAATCAGTAACGAACAGATAATGAAGATGAAAACAGACAAATCAGATGATTACTCAAATGGAAAACAAGGTAAAATCTAGCATACGAGAGGCTAGCACCTCTCACGAAGTTTCTGCATGCTACACACTCCCTGCATCCTCCCTATTTATACTAAAAATTATTCTAAGTACCCAAATTACCCCTTCTTAACTATTCTAGAATATTACCTAGGAATGGGATTGGGCCTCTAGATGGGTGCATGATAAAGTAGGTACAAGAACACATAAAGAAGGTAGCAACACAAACTACATAATGTAATTAAATACCTTGAAAATTCACCCGTGCTTTGAGCACCACCATGGATAAGGTTATAATGCTCGGTCACCTGTACATTGCCCCAATGCGAGATCTCTATTTCGCGCACCAATTCTTGCGAGACTGCAAATGGCTTATTACTTGGAAAGTGAATAGCTAGCGGAGAGTATGAAAGAGCAGGAAGATTCTCATAAGGACCATACTTGATCTCTGAGCCAGATAACTTGGTATTTTCAAGTTTTGTATAAGATTCTACATTTTCACTCGGCAGTTTAACAGTCAGTGACTGGATTTTAACATTATAAGGTACGGGAAAATGTGCACTATCCTGGAACACGAAGAGCTGAGCTTCAGCCTGAGTAATTTTCTCGGGAAATGGTCGCAATGTATGAGTGAATACCGCCAAAACCTCCAAGGTCAAACTTTCTCCCTTACCCAGTCCCTTAAGCAGAGATACAGCATACCAAATTAGTGATGGTGGTGAATCATCAGGTTGCTTAACTTTGATAGGAAGATTGCTAGAGAAACCTTTCGTTTTCCCTTTCCCTTCAGTACTAATAGCCATTAACAGCGCCAAATTTTTTGCTTGGTATTCTGGAAAGGTCAAAGATACCTCTGAAACTGGATCAGGACCGGTATTTTCAACCTGCAAGGCATGGAGAACTTTTAGAATAGATTAAAAGAGGTGACAGAATTAATAAACGTGGTGCTAGAGATTTATCAATGACATGAGGCAGAATTTCAAATTAACACGAACCTTTAAGCTCAAACTCATCCGCACAATCTGTGAAGTAAGATCAATCTGCAACAGAAGATGACATACTATCAGGTGGTAGCTACCATAAAGAACATGATAAAATTGTGGCAATAAATACAGTTTGTCTCAGAAAATTTTTGGCAGCCGGGATACGTTAGTATTTAGTAAAGATTCACATTCTAACATGATGACTTACAAGGATAAACACTAATGAAGGACATACTAACTGGACTCTTTTAACACCCCTTAACTTAGAGCATAGATATCTATCATGCCCTACTTGCTACATATGAAGTCTATCTGCACCCACAGTGGTTTCTTCATTATTTTTGCAAGCTGGTAATACAAAGAAATATGGATAGAATAAATAGATTGTGGCTCAATCTGCATACCCATAATATGTTTGTTCACAAGATGAAATGCACCTCTATGTGTTGAGTTATCTCATGAAAAATCTAATCTTGGCTATACCAATGTCACCATATAGCCTCATCAGTTTTCCAGGGGAAGTCATAATTCGTGAAACAAACATCCAGTCCATGTCATCTTACAAGTAACATCTGTAATAGATCAATATTCTGAGGCTACACTAGACCATATGATACACTGTGTTGTTTCTTGCTCGTCCACAAGACAAGATTGCCACCAAAAGAGACATAGTAACCAGCAGTGGAAAGACAAGTCATGTGGCAACCTGTCCAATCTGCATCTAAAGTTCCAGCAATCTAATATTTTCTGGCACATCCTCGGTGAAAGCATCAACTCTACAATGGCCTTGTTCAAAATACAAGATCCCCTTGCCTAGAGAGGCTATGAGATACCAAAAATCTGAAGAACTGCATCCCACTAACATGTATATGTAGCAAGTAATCAAGTAAGCAAGATACAGTCTAGTAACAGTTAGATAATTAAGTTCCCCTACCAATCGCTTGTTGGTTTATAGGTTTTCTGAGCTCAAGTAACAGCTTTGAAACCATGGATGGAATCTATTGGTTCATTGCTCAGTAATCCACATTCTAAAAGCAAATCTAGTCATGCTCCCTTGGATGTAATATCCCCTATTCGGATCAAGAAACTCCAATTCTTAGAAAGTAACAAAGACATTCAAGTCCAGTAATATGAAACTATTTCCCATAAAGCTCTTTGAAAAGTAATAGTCTTATGTTAACGTCAATAGAGAACTGAATAATCATGCACTCTTGGATAATTCAAATTGTAAAAGAATGTGTAAGAAGCAATCAAACCAAACTCTAGGGGACTTCCTAAGACCGTATGAGGAGTCTTGAAGACAACAAATCTTGGAGGCCTCCTCCTGAAGAACGATTAATCCATAAAGAACGATTAATGAAAAAACATTAGCAATTTAGCATAGCCAAACTGATTCATGAAAGGGAAACTATAGGTTCAATCAAGGTCTTGTTGAAGCCATTGCCAATTGTTTCTAGCTTCTTCCTAACAGCATGTCCCCTCCATAGCTGCACTTTGACTTAGGTGTCAAAAGTCAAGTCTAAAGTTCAAACCTGATATTGATTTTAAACTTCACAAGAAAACATTGCTAACTACATTAGACTACATAACAGTTGATACAAAAACAGAAGTATTCGTGCTATCAAATCTACATTTGAGAACTGCAGCGTTCGCATCAACAATCAAACTGTATCAATTATCATGACTCTACATGCTACGAAATCTACCAACCATAATAATCAAATTTCGGATCTCATCATAATATTTAAGCTATAAAGATCAGAAATGAAATAAACTGATACAAAGAGAGGACAAATTACCCGTCGATCAAGTTTGGAGATGACCAGATCGGAAAGCGCAGTGGACCAATGTATGGCGAGTAATAAGATGAGTAGATCAAATCGAAATCTACCCATGATTTTTCTTCTTTCCCGAATATGTTAATGTAATTGAATTAGGGTTTATGATATCAGTGGGAGAAAAAAAGAGAGGGTTTCTCGTCAGATTAGGACAGACTGAATTTTATGCAGGACCAAAAGGCCATGGACACTTTAAAATGCGCAGATAGCTGCGTAATTTAGCTCGCAATTGTTATATTGCGCTACTATATATTTCTATTTTCCAGTTCATCTAAACCGTCAAAACGATGCATTTTAGAACTTTTACAGTATAATTTATGGTTTGTATTTATCAAACCACACTATACCATATGGTTTACAGTTTTGAGTTATCAAATCGTAGTTTAAACCGCACTGCACCGTATATTTTATATATATTTTTAATTTTATATATACATAACACTTGCACATACAGGCGAAGAATCGTGTGAGAATGAAAGTTAAAGTGAGAAAAGTAAGAAGAGATCTGAACCTCTGTTCACCTTTAATCTTAAACTCACTCATGAATCGCATTTGATAGAGAGATTAATCTGGTGCGTCTCGGTGCATTTCATCCTAATATGCATCCAAAGTTGGTAATCCCTTCTTACACACTTAACTCTCATTCTCATCAGACCCCAAATCATGCGCACGCGCGCACGCGTGCACACACACACACACACACACATATATATATATATATATTAGTTGTGTACCCGCGCAATGCGGCGGGAGCCATGAATTTTAACGATTTTGAAGTTCCACTGGTTTTATAAGATAAGATTTAACGATGATATATATATTACACTTGGTCTTTACATATTAATACAATTCGAATAAATAAGAGTTATGGTTCCAATTTTAGACTATCGATGAAAAAAATTGTATGACAGTTTAAAATCCAATATATTTAAAATCCAACATCTTTAAACGACTCCACAAATGTGTTCGATTTACACCAAGAGTAAAGAACCAAAAAACTTGAGTTTTAAGATAAACACTCAAAATCAATAAAAAAAACTACAAATTTGACAGATCATAAGCCATGAAAAGACCCAAAAAAATGGGTTTTAGAATGAAATTTCAACTGTTTACCCTCTTTCTTGTCCAAAAACTCAGATTAAGGTTGAATGTGTATATATATATTTCAAAAAAACCCAAGAACATATTAATTCAGAACATATTATACAGTGTCATTTGGACAGCCTAACCTCAAAATATATAGTATATATATAAATAAATAACTATAAAAGTATAAATCGTAAATATTAAAAATATTTTTTCACAGTAYATATAACATATARTAATATAATTAAGTCAAAAACTATTYAATATAKGACTCATTTCGAAGGTATTAACGAGAYGATTATAATGGTGTAACTTGTTAAAATAAAAATGTATTTTTTAAACATGTTTAATTGATATACGATTATGTATATTAATTTGATAAAGGTTTAAAATGAAACATTTAAAAGTAAAGGACGTAAAGTAAATTAATTAACTAATTACAGGGGTATAAAGTGTAAATTTAAAATTATAATTTTAAGAAAATGGGTTGTGAGAGGGTGAGTGTATGTGAGGGGGTGAGTGTATGTGAGGAGATGAGGGGGTGAAAAAGTGATATAAAAGGCATCTTGGTCATTTAGTATTTTAAGACTTTAAGACTTTTGTTAAATTTGCTTTATAAGATAGTATAGATAAAAAAAACAGTTGTGAGAGGGTGAGTGTATGTGAGGAGAGGAGGGGGTGGAAAAGTGATATAAAGGGTATCTTGGTCATTTAGTATTTTAAGACTTTAAGACTTTTATTAAATTTGCTTTATAAGATAGTATAGATAATAATTTATTATATATGTAATAGTTAGGACTTTGCGTTTTGAGAAAGATAATATGCCTTAAATTGGTTTGGAGTTGGGGGCATTATACATTGCATTTGTTGGGGGCAAATGCCCCTACATACAGGATCATCCTACATCAGACCGTCTCTACAGTCAAATTGTTACATCAAACACGAGTCAACAAGTTTTTGTTATGTTTTGTCTCGTTTCGTATGTCAAACGCACCTCAAGGATTTATCGTGTTTAATGAGGTTGGCTCAGTCTCTCAACGGTACAAGGATCATCTATGATACCATTTGTAACACCCTCAAGCCCAAATGAACAGTCAAAAAGGTCTAAATTAATAACTTCGAAATAAAGACTTAAAACCATACTAACAGTTATTGATAGTCCATAAATACGATTTATAAGTAGCTTAAAAATCTTATTTTCCATGTTCACATCTTACCTTCATCATGATCATAAAAAGACTTGTATATATGTGTATATACCTTCTAAATAGAATCACAAATACAAATATAACACCATATTGTGTGTGTGTATGATGTTAATACTTAACAACAAATATATGAAGTATGCTAGATCAAAGCAAATGTGGGTTGGACGACTAGTTTCGTTTGTCTTGGGGAATGTCTACGCTAGCGACAATGTGGGCCGATTGGCTTGGGGAATCTGGATTGTCGACGTTTGGAGCAACGTGTGATTGAGCATTTCCCGATGGGGAGCTTAAACCCTTGGTAGGAAGGTGGCCCGATTGCCCCTTGGTTTCTTTTTTCTTCACCGCGTGTTTTTTCCAATGCTTCAGAGCTTTTGAAGTTTGATCGTCGAAAATAGACCTCTTCATTTTCGACCCCATCTACCACATGAAAACACACAATCAGCTTTAATCATGAGACCCATAAAATAAACCAAACAGAACAGACCCGGTAAATCCCACTCAGATATAGGGTCTAGTAAAGATAAGATGTACATAGACCTGATCTCTACCGCAAGGAGTAGAGTGATTGTTTTCGTTAAGACAACCAGCTTGTACAAGAATGTGAGCAAACATGTGACAGGAATAAAGATCAGCATATCGTGAACAAAACACTAGAAAAATAAGTAAGAAAAAGGAACCAATAGCGGAGAAAAATAAGTAAGATTAGCATGTTCACGGAAATATCTAAGTTTGGCATGTCCAACCTTAATTGCTCATAAAACGAAAATGGTAAATAGCCAAAACGAGTGAATATATGAATATGTTATAGCAGTTCCGAGTACCTGAGTCACAAGAGCGTAGAGTGGAAGGATAGCGTAACTGCACATGACTTGAACAATAATTCTGGAAAATTGATAAAGCAAACAGATCAAAATCTTCAAACTTGCCCAATAATCTCTCGGTTTATGCTAGATCCAACGCCATTAGAAGGGCATCCCGACAATACATTGGGTCCAAGGGATTTAAAACAAGAAGGTCCAATTTTCTTACCCAACTAAAACTCTACCATATTGAAGTACAGGTTTTACGTGAAAGCACGAGTCAAGTCCAAACTCATACTGTAGTAGACAATAAGACATCACATACAGTCGTTAAAGTCTATTAGTTCGTTCGTATAACAAAAGATAAAAAACAGAGAAATCGCTCGTTACCCATATCCAGAAGAAGTGTGTTATCTCAAACGCGTTCTGGAAAAACAAGAATCATAATTCAAAAATTAGCAAAATTACTGAAGTTAGACAGCCGTAGAACCTATATCTTGTCATAACGGTTGCACGATATAATCTTGCTGACATGATGCAACAAATCAATCAAACTTATTGAAAATGATCGAGTTTGAATTTCAATGACTAAAATGTAAGAAGACAGATACCATGAAGAGCGTGAGCTGAATAAAATAAAGAATTATCGTAGGGTCCTTAAACCAAAAATGTTTGTCGGTCACTTGCACGAGAGGTATGCCTTGTATTACAGCATGCCTTTCTTGAATGTCCATAGCCATCTGTGCAATAATTGCTTGAAGCTTTGTTCCAACTGCTAACAGTATCTTTATACCAAAATCAACACTTGGTCAGTTAGTTAGTTCGTTAGTTATTCCTCTTTCATACACTAAATACACAAGATATATAGGATCTCTCCACAAGTATTCTCAATTTTCGTCAAGAAAATGGGATTTAAGGTTTAGGGTTTATGCTGATACACCATTTACTCAAGGTGGTTAACGAAGAAATCCTTACAACAACAGGAAATAGAGATAGCCAAATCATAGCATAAGCTCCTGCATGTATCATGAATGAGTACTAATTTGTGAGTCTTATACTGTAATATATATATATACATACATATATATATGTATGTATCAATAAATAGAAACACTAAACTTCACCTTCAACATTGGCAAACAGATAGAGGACCGCGGTAGACCATAACAACGGACTGAAAGGAGCATCAACCACGACAAATAGGATTAAAATTCATAGGGCTAAATAAAAGTAAAAAGACCAATATACATGAAACTAATTACCTGATTCCCACAATTACTTTAAAATCGTCTTCGAGTGACCTCTTTATATATTTTTGAAAGTTAAATTGACTGCCAGGAGCTAAATGGACCTGTATATCAAAATTGAAGAAAGTTGTTGGAGAAAAGAGTTAGGACCTGGTTTTTAGCAGTTTAATGAGTATAATGAGACACACAACTTATTTGGTTAGCGACACATGACTGTTTGGTAGTGGCTTAATGTATGGAAAGTGGCTTTTTCAGAAGCTTCTAGGGGGAATTTTATGCAGAAAGCCAAGTTTTTTTTCCTTCCAAACCTGCCCCTCCCAACTGAAAAACACACTCCTTCCATCTATTAAAAACCCCTCCCGAACGAAAACATTCTCAATCTATACAGACAAATTAATCCACACATGCATCTTAATCCATACAGAACTTAATGGAAAACCAACCAAACGACCCCTTAGCCAAATATACCAAAAGGGTCATTGGCCAGCAGTACCCAGGTTACTTGTAGATCCCCATCCTTCTTGGAGATCAAGGAACCAAATGTGAGGAGTATTTGTGAGTTTTACCGTATATAATATTACATATAATATACTTCAAAGAGTTGGCCAAATATGATACATCAATGCCGAAAGAAATTAGGACTGTAGAACTCACGGAGATGAATCCATGGCGCATGGTCAAATAATCTGCTTTCTTAACAGAACTACAGAATTGCCGAAAGAAGCAGACCTGAAATCAAGATTTGTTTATCATCAATAATCAATCTGATGAACATGCTGTAATTGCTTCTATGGACTATGATAAAGAAAGGTGAACATAAAAGAAGAAAAAGCTTAGATATATCATTTGATAAGTAATATAATCTCCTTACAGTATAGAAGACTATTGACAATCCGGTATTGGTGGTGTGGCCTTTAACGAAAGACGTTTCCTTTGTAAGCCGAAACTTAGAAGGATCTGCAAATAAACATTAAGGATCGTCAAATGATAAGCGTACATATATGACAAGATATTTGGACCCCAACTTGGTATCAGAGCCAAGGTCTACAACTTCGGGGCAATCTAAACTCGTCTAGCCCCCTTTCAACACTATGGGACACGTTGTGCCGTCTAGCCTCCATTGGAGAGGATCCCAAGTCGGCTAGATTTGGATCATTTCTCTTCTACATACCTAAAATTGACTAGAAACGGGGGACCGCCCATAGTGCGAAACCTAACATATGAATATTGTAACATAATCATCATAAATATGTGATTCATGATGAAGAAAACGCCCATATTCATCATGAATAACACGACCATATTCATCATGAATAACACGTCCATATTCATCATGAATGTGTGATTCATGATAAATATTCATTCAAAGAGGGACGCGTGGCATGTTGAGGCGATTCTCGGGTTCCAAATCAATTTTGGGTTCCTAACAAAACTTCCCCCTCTCTCTACACACACACACACACACACATATATATATATATATTGGAACCACACTTCTCTCCTCAAGGACTCTTTTGGAGAGTAATCTAATGGGATTCCACATATTTTGCAGTCATACTTATACATGAAAGTTCAAGTAATACCATGTCCAGCTGCTTGTTGCTCCATAATCTCTTTTTCCCAGGTTTTCCACTCGCGGATCTGCAATAAAGAAATATGTAGGCTTTAAGATGGAGAAATTCCAACAATATTTTCAAGATTGTCTTTTGGGATGATTTTTGCTTGTTATTTGAAGAGAATTAAATTCTTAGGAAGAATGTCACCTTTGCTCTCCCAGCAATCATTGTAAGGGCACTATAGATTACATGAAACACTGCCAAGAAGAAAATGAATATGTGGAGCTGATGCAATCCTTCAACGGTAATAAGCGGTTCATATCCCTAATTAACCACATTCAAACGATTTAGACGAATATGCGCATGACGAAAACTATTAAGAATAAATGAAACTAAACAAAATCTTACAGGCTTGCATTCTTTTTCCGGACCTCCGCCGCCAGCTAAAATTCTATGACCGTGAGTATACCATAAGAGCCGGCGGCGGTTTTCTGCCTCACCACCATCTCCATCGTCATCATCTGATGGTTTATCTGGATATTTCTTCTTGCAAGGCAAGAAATCTTTGGTAAGCATCTTAGAAACACAAATGGCAGCAATGTAGCTCTGACAAAATGTCAGAAGCAGAGAAATAAATCCAAGCACCATAAGCTCTGCAACATATATCATCAAACAGATTATTACAAAAAATTTCATGTATCCCACCTGTATTAACCTCATGCTTATATATATTCTTACCTGTTTTAATCTTCTCCAATGCTTCATGTAGCCCTATTTTATGTCTTGCTTTTAGATACTGGAACAAAAAATGTATGTTTGCACAATCAATTACATTCAACAATCAACTGAATACACAAATTAAAATTTATTGATGCATTTCCATTATTCATGATATTCATTCATGAATTTCTATCACGGTATTCATAATGAATAATTCATGAATAGTTGGTTCTCAAATGAATGGAAATAAGATAATGTGGAGGATAAATTACATGTCCAACATGATGAAGAATCTTCTCCAAGATTATTGATATTATAACAATGATTGCACAAACCATAGCCACCGACCATGTTGCAGTTTCGTCTAGCCCCCTACCTCCTCCTGCCATTTAAACCTGAATTCACACAACCACCTTCTCAAAATGTAAGCTTTTTCTTAACCATCATATCCTCCTTCCTTTCTTGATTTTGTTCTTTTCCTTTTACACCTTTGCAAAAACACAGTCACCCATCAAGATTAAGATATTCCAATGGCTCTAAGATGATGAAAACAAATCTTCCAACAAGTTCTTTTTCCTGAATCTTGATGAGGAAAAAAGCAGATTGAGAAAAGGTTTCTTCTTTTTGCTGGTCCTAACAGAAATGGACCAAATGTGAATATTTTGGGAGTCAAATAAAAAAGGAAAACATATTTACCCATATTGATAAAAAAAATTATTTCAAAGATGCCAACACCCTGAAAAACCAATTAACCAGAGTGTTAATAGGGGATTCAGTTACATGATCACAAATCTTGGCCACAAGATATGTTCAAATCACAATCACACCCCCTTGTATTTTTGCAAATCACAATGCCACCCCCTTAAAATACACCACTTTTAAATGGAATCAACATAATTTCATATCTTAACGCTCATCCATTTAAATGTTCAGTTTCTTATAGTTCACCTGGTAACTTAACCAATCAAAGATAGTTTCTGAAAAATTGCTTAATACCAATTGAACATAAAGTGTAAAACTTTATACACAAACAGGTACGTTCCAATCTTTTTGGAGGCCCTATTACACCTAAAGCTTTCGATTACACTCCAAATTGAGATAATAAAGAAACCTATATACAAATTACAGAGGTGATGATAAGGCGTGTTACTTTAGTTTTCAGATAGAAATTAGAGAGGCATGGAAGTCGGCTATAGTATAACAATCGTTGATGAAAAAGCCCTTAACAACGTAAAATTTGGCCCCATGTTCAAAATCACACGTTTAACATGCTAAAGAACAGCCTTGTAAACAAGTTTTCTCATCCACATTTTCAAGATATATTTTCTTTTTTTTAGCATTTTTTAATTAAACATTTGGTTTTTGTAAATGATTAAATCATTTTCGTCCAACAAGAAAATTGTGGAACAAGATGTTAATATAAAATCATAAATTACATCATATTTCATCTAAAAAGAAAATTGTAAACGATATGCAAAATTTCTTCGACCAGGCACAGCTAATATCCATGATCATCATAGGATGCTAATTTTCATCAAACAAGTTGGTTCTGCATTTCATCGAACAGTTTATGGGTATGAAACCCACCCCTAATCTAAGGAAGGATCAGCATCCAAAATAATTTCTCCTACGATCCTAGTTCATAAAGTATAACAACTAGAGAAACTATAGAAAAAAAGTAACTGCAAGTATCTTCTTTAGAATACTTAAATGACCAAAGGCGTACCTGCAGGACTGTGGTTGTGGCATTTGAGCAAACAGTTTGTGGGTGACTTAGAACTGAAAACGAAAATCCAAATTATCACAATATGCGACACGAAGTGAGGACAATGTCGAATTCCATCTGCAACATAAATTATTCAAACCAAAATTATTCCATAAGAAACGAAAAAGTAAAACAAAAGTTCAAACCAATAAGTTCTATTTCAAATATCTGTCATTAACCATTTGAATTTATTGGACTCTGATATCAAATTGAGATGCGTATAGATATTATTCTGTGTATGTTTCGAAACAGATTACCAAAAAATGAATTCGCCTGGTTCAGAACGGAACAAAAACAAAGACGGAATGAAAAAATTCAGAAGCAAAAAACGAAATCGCCGCTGCCGGGGATCGAACCCGGGTCACCCGCGTGACAGGCGGGAATACTTACCACTATACTACAACGACCTTGTTGTTTCCATTAGGTTGTACCTATATCATATCATTGCATTTGTCGTCGGAAAAAATGGCGATAGTTAAAAAATCGCCGTTGCCGGGGATCGAACCCGGGTCACCCGCGTGACAGGCGGGAATACTTACCACTATACTACAACGACCTTGTTGTTTAATTCAGTTAGGTATAGTGGTATACCAATATCATATGATTACAATTGTCGTCGGAAAAAATGGCCATGTTAAAAAAAAACGCCGCTGCCGGGGATCGAACCCGGGTCACCCGCGTGACAGGCGGGAATACTTACCACTATACTACAACGACATTTTGTTTCATTAGTTAATTTTACTGATAAAGTACTTCTCAATCTGTGTAAAATTTAGTACGAACAATAGCTGTTACCATTTTCTCCATTAAAACAGAATATACTAATAAATAATTGTGCAAATAAATAGTATCATATCAGATTTGGTGTTTTACTGTTCGTAACACTATTCTTTTATTAAGAATAGAGAGCTTAATGAATAAGCTTAACGAGTCATTAATCAAATGCCTAGCAGATTAACAGCACAAGAACCAATACCCTTATGCTATAAGAGACGAGACAAAGAATAAGAGTCTTACCCGACAATGAAGGTGACGACTTTTACCGAAAAGCGGTTACCATATAAGATCGTTGCATACATGTCATTTTGATAACCAAGCATCTTAGAAGGAGATGGTCTAAGAACCCTTTTTCGTATGGCCCAATCAATTTTCAGATGTGGAGACCCAGGGGTGTAAATCAATAGACTGATAAATTCAAGAATCAACACTAAACCACTTCACAGTTGGTTTGATAACACAATCTGAAATTGGGGCTGCAGAAGAATCTAGAAAACAAGACAAAATTTGCTGAAAAAGATTCAAGAACAGATCTACAGAGAAAACAAATTTCATAACCCCAATCTCATTCTCATTGTAATCTAGGAGTCTGGTTTTGTTCACTTGGAACAAACACAGGCAGCTGCCCTCCTCTCTGTGATCTACCTTGCTGATAATAACTCAATGGGGTTGGGCCCCTCTGAGGATCACCGCCCCCGCCCCCGCCCCCACCGTTCCGACCGCCGCCAACAAGCGGCCCGCCAAAGAATATCGACTGACCAGTGTACGTTAGCTCTGTGCCCGAAGCCTGAGACGAAGAGCCGCCTATGCTTCTTGTCGTTGAACCAGAGACAAACCGCCCTGCTTCTTGATCCCAGTACACCGAGGACGATCTCGTACTTTCACCAACACCTAAGTTGTTTCTCCTGGCAGGAGGTGGGACCCCCATTGGCTCGTTGTTCCCCCCTTCGCTTGCCTTTCCAGACCAAGGGGACTGATTTGCTGAAGACTGGTACATGGGATTAAAATGGTCTCTACCGGGCACTGGACTGCTCAAATTACTAACACTATGACCGCAGGTTTCAAGATCCTCCCTGCTGGCTCGACTAGGTGGGTACGAGCTTTTGGAGTGGCTCCTTTCATGGAATCTGTGATGGGTACTGTTCGGGCTGCTTTTTCCGCTCACGTTACTACTAGATAGATGGTCAGGATCATATTGATTGTATTTGGCGCCTAATGGGCGTAGAACAGAGGATGAAGCTCGGGCTTTGGCGCCTGCTTTGATTGCTTCGGTCGAATCCAGTTTCACGAGCTTCCAGGCGCTGATTCTGACAGGTCGTTGAGGTAATCTTTTGCCTTTGTCGGGTGGGTAGACTGCATCTGGATCGACTGTGGATGGAAGCCGTCCTGGCTCTAGATGTGGGATGACTTCATCCTGATGTCACGATAATATATAACATGTTAATAACTTTGAGATCAATGAAAAATGATAGTTTTCAAAAGGTGGAGAAACAATCTTTTCTATTTTAGGAAAGTAGATACTCGATATTGATTAGGAGTGCACAAAAACCCTACCAACCCGGCCAAATGGGACACATTATTTGCATGGCTAAATGTGAAATTTTGTTAAGATAACGGTCTAAAACAGGAGGAGGTACCTGTTGATCCATGAAAATTCTGGGAGGGGTGCACCAAGCACCTTTATGTTGCAAGCTCAAGCCATGGGAGCTTCGTCCACTGATGGCAGTCACCGCAGAGCTTGTGGGAGAAGACTGCAGGCTTTGTTGATCCATTCCATCTATTGACGGACCTGGTGGTTCACTCTGGGTCCTCATCGCAACTACGTACTCATATGTTGTGATCCCCTGCATTAAGGATATCAACTCTTGCTTAATAGATATGCAATACACACACATGCATGCATATATACATATATATATATATAGAGAGAGAGAGAGAGAGAAACCTTTCGTATGAGGATTATGTGGAAAAATAAGAGTTCTCCTAGCGGAATGGTGGCCAGAAAAGAAACAAGCGTACATATTGCCTGAAAGAAGGGTATAACGGGAAAAACAAAATTATTTGCTGAGAAAAAGAAGTGACTTTACCAAATGCAAATGTGAAGAAAATAAGATGGCAAATAAATGTGGAAAGTGGAAAGCACTTGATATAGAAACGGTTGATAATAAAACAAAACCAAATGAGCCTAGTATATCCCATCCGGAGGGGGTCCTTTGGATGAACGACCTTAAACGAGTTCTCAATTAGAAGCATGACCTTCTAAAAATATCTTTTATCTGAATGACCTTCATCCCACAAAAACTTGGAAATACAGTAGAGGGTCATCTTGCTAACTACCCACCCACCAAGGAGGTGGGGCCTAGGAGGAGTAAGATGTATGTAGACTTGACCTCTACCTCCAGAGTTGAGTGGATGATGACAATACATCAGCTCCCTCCATCTCATGCAAATCACAACAACTACTTTGGATATCCCATAAAAGTTGTTAGATTCTAGTTTTAGTAAGTTTTCATGTTCAAATTGGAAATTTGTTCGTCGCCATCATTACACATTATTGACTACGTCTTTTACTCCACTAGGTCCCTTACTTTGTCATTATTAAAACGTATTTTAGACCTTTGATTATAATTAAAAGCTTAACCAAAAAGTCAAAGCATTTGTTGAATTTAGTTGGAAGATGAAAGTGACCATAACTAATACTCCTTTCGTCCCAAAATAAGTGTTCACATTTCTATTTTAGTTTGTACCAAAATAAGGGTCCGCTTTCAGAAGTAAGTGCCTACTTTTCAATTCTACCCTTAACTATCAGATGGAGAAATCCATTACTCCCTCTACTATTAATGGTAAAATCATCATTTATTTAATTAAACTTTGTAATAATACACATTTCTAAAATTGTGTGCCTTTTTCATTGTGGACATTTATTTTGGGATGGAGGGAGTAATGTTATAGTAGTATGGGAGGAGTGAATTTACCACCACGGTTGCAAATGGAGGTCTACTGAATCCATCTCCAAGTCTGTCAGCAATCTGATTTTCCGTTGCCCTTCTATCTACAAAGCATCGAACGAGAACAGCAATCCCAACCCCGCATTCAAAAGTAAGCTGAGATGAGAACACAATACAATATTTGAATAACAAACTTCACATTTAAAAGACGTATATGCATAAAATATACAATAATCTGCTATGAGAACACATAAAATTATATATACAATAATTGCTATTGAAAAAAAAAATCAAAACGAAAGGAAAAGCTACAACTAGTCACGTACAAATATCAAACGATAAGTTTCTTAAATAACAACTTACCCAAACAAGGCTTACAGCCATTAAGCACACGAATGTAAAGTAATTTTTCCTCCCAACACAATTGTTCAACCACTACACAGGAAATTTATAGGTAAGAAATAAATTAGAATAAAAAGTAAATCATGTGAATTTATAGATAAATAATGAAAAATTATAGAGTAAGAGGTTTTGCGAATAACAGATTACTCCATATGAAGTCCAAACTGAACACACTCAGGGGTTGTTTTGGTTAGTTTTCCATCAACTGTATGGATAAAGTTGTCTGTGTGGATTAATCTGTTTGCATAGATCATGAAGGTTTTTGTTTGGGAGTGCTTTTCCATAGATGGAAGGAGCGTGCTTTTTAATTGGGAAGGGCAGGTTGGGAAAAAAAACTTGGCTTTCTGCATAAAGCTACCCCTTAGAAGCTTACTGAATAAGCCACTTTCTATATCATTAAGCTAGTACCAAACATTCATGTATAGTTTACCAAATAAGTTGTGAGACTCACTAAAATGTTAACAAATAGACCCTCAGTATGCCCCACTCAAAAGTAGGGTCCACGGAGGATGTATGCAGATATGTCCTCTACAGTAGAGCGGTTGTTGAGTGCTAATCAGGGCGGACTTACCTTTATCAAGGTGGGGGAAAGGCCCCCACTCAATATGTACAAAAATTAAAATTTTGTAGGTAAAATTTTGTTTTTTCTACTCTTATGTGCTTAGTTCCCCCCCCCCCCCCCGTAATTTTCGACGGTTCCCCAGTGGCCTAGTCCATTTTAACAAAAAACCCCACTCTCTTGCTTGACGGTCATTATCCCCGTATATTGTTACCACTAGTTCTTGCAATTATGCTACAATGATGACGTTGGTTGATGATTTTGTTAAATATATCTCAATTTCTTGTTCTTTTAGTTTTATATATGTTCAAACCAATTCATCTAGAAGGACATTATAGAAATTAAATAATAGTATACTTTGCTATTCGGTTGACCTATATGGTATAAAAATAATCGAAATCGATATTTACCTTATTTGGTTAACTGAACTGTTTAACCCGCAAACTAAATAACCCAAAATCGTTTTGGTTTGGGGAGTCATTCGGTTTCGGATTTTTTTATACGCTAGGGCCCCCAGTCATCTAAGTTTCTGGATCCACCACTTGTATTAATGTGCTTGTTCGGTTGTCCCAATAGGGTATGATGTATTCTAACTACTTTATTCATTTAGCAACGAAAGTTTGAGTGGGACCAGCAATGGCCGCTACCCACAAATGTTGAGTGCTACCCGTTTCAAATTTGGTCCTTACCCGACAATGATGATCAAACCCATCAACACATTTATCACAACTTCTGCAATGTTTGCTATACTTGCGCACCTATAAGAAACGGAAACAAGATTTAGGATTATTTGTCCGATAATATCTTGATACGATTATTGATAAAAATTAATACATGGTTCATGATTTCAACAATCAAAGATGGTTTAAGACACGTAAAACATTCAATTGTGCATGAAATGTTATATACAACGGAAACGATGTCGTGAAATGTTCTATTAATATAGATAGCAGGTTGATACCTCTGCATTGCACAATGTGCAGAATAAAGCTTCTTCCTCCCCTCCTTGTTGCATGTCTTCATCTTTTCGACAATCCTCTTTAACAATACAACCACAAAAGAGTCCCCCGATCTTCGAACAGAAACCTGGACTACCGTTGTCATATATTCCACCATTCTGAAACCCCATCTTGCTAGGTTCTCCAACAGAAGATGCATTTCCTGATATCCAAATAAACATTTTACCATTTTTAAGTAAGGGATTGTTTGGTTGGTTTGCCATTAAGTACTGTATGGATAAAGCTGTCTGTGTGGATTAATTTGTCTATATAGACTGGGAAAGTTTTTTGTTTGGGAGGGTTTCTTCATGGATGGAAGAATCGTGTTTTCTAATTGGGAGGGACAGAAGTGGAAAAAACTTGTCTTTCTGCACAAAGCTCCCCCATAGAAGCTTACTGAATAAGTCACTTTCTATATCATTAAGTCACTACCAAAAAGTCGTATATAGCTGACCGAATAAGCTGTGAGGCTCATTAAGCTGTTAACAGACAGGCCCTAAATGTCCATGAGGCGTTCACAGTTTGCTACCTGCATATTAGTCTTGTTATTAATATGATCATTTTTATTTTCCGAGCTTTTATGTTTTAATGTAGGGTTTTGTGCATCTTTAGATCTTCTTACCACTAACAACGGTAGGATAAAATGGAAAAAATATATTTCGTATATAACAAATGACAAGAGAACCACGCTGAAATACGGTCACTAACCAGGAACTTCTATACCGTTATGCGATCTATAAGGTGATGCCCTATCCGGTTCAATTAGAATGCCGGGATCAGCAGGATCGATAGCCGTGCATCTTACATAAAGGACAAATACGCAGAGAGCCTGAAACATAAAACAACTTTTAGGAACATTATGTTTAACATATACATAACTAATTGAAGGTCAAAAAGGTCATTTACCAAGAAGGAATAGACACCATATGCCACATGCTCATAGATAGCCTTTCCAAGAAAAGGTGAGAAAAATGCATAGAAGGCAACTGACAACAAGAAGAATACTGTAATAGCCACAACCTGCAAATTAATGAAATAAATGTCAGCCTCAAAAAGCAAATATAGAGACACTTCATCGTCACAAAGAACTAGAGAATCGTCTCGGTTTTGAAAAGGGTGGGAAGGATGCTTCTGTACACAGATTTTTTAGTTATTTACATGACTCGAACCACAGAACCAGTGACCTTCCATTCGTAAAGAAGCTCCAAGGCTTGCCCCTATTGAATCTGATTTGATAACCAAAAAGAGGAATTGGTTCTGCTATATCAAAATACAGAAACAGGTAATTTGTAGCCACATTAAACTCTAAAAAGCTATTGAAGTAGCACATTCAGGTTAAATATATTGAATGAATGCCACACAAAAAGTGAAATATTCTCACAAGTTAATCACTTATACGGGTGTTTTTGTTTTTGTAGTAAATAAACCATCATTCTTGCAAAAATACACAAAAATAAGAGAAAAAAAGAAGGAAAGAAAACGTAGTATAGCTTGCAAGATTAGGCGATTTTGGACGACAAATTACAAGTAAGGTAGGTTTGCATTCACATTTCACAATCAGTTATATGTTCTTTCTGGCATCTGTGCAAGAAAGATAGCTAATTTACATAAGAATGACAAATGCAATGGTTCATAAAGTTAATCACTCTGTTTGGTGAGAAAAATGTGCAAAGAAGCTCATCAGCTTTGAGAGGATATGGGAGTGACAGAAAGGGGTGTTCAAATGGGCTCTAAATTGTCATTAGTTGGTCAAATCTCATAAATTATAATGCATACAAGCTGTTCTATGGATACCCAGCCACAATCTCTAACTGATAACCATGATTTATACATAGTTTATGGACAAAATACTTCTAATCCAGCCCACATTACAAAAAATAAGAAAAACACACACATACAACAGATCGAAGTAGCAAATTAAGCACAAAATTTGTACCTGAAAAGTGTGAGCAGGAAGTTCCCATCCATGTCGCCTGGCCATGATCAAGAACCAAAGTCGGGAGTCAAAAATCCTCAAATCAAAGAGTATTTAACGGTCAAGATCGCCATAGAAATCCCTAATTCTAACTAAACCAGAAAAAATTAACACCCAGAATCCACTAATGCGTGCTCTCCATCTAGTTCACTCTAACAACGGGAAAGATTCGAGTCCAGGATAAGAAAATTGTTCATGATTAGATGTTAAACCTGCAAAATAACCCAACCCCACTTCGATTTCTCAAATTCTAGGGTTTGTGGGTCGGGGGAATGTGTTATCGATCAATGAGGCGTGGAAGAGAAAGAGGAGGTTGGGGGTTATTCTGTGTAGTAAAAACTAAAACTGAATGTATGATCCACAACTGCCTGAATGCGCATTTGATTCGAAAATCTCTTGTTGGTTTACTCGTGAATTCATGCTGCTGCTACTCCTCCTTCCATTGGCTTAAAGCACACTTTGTTTAGTGGGAATCGTGGACCAAGTCTCTACACGCAGCAAGAACCCTCAATCTCCGCCTTTTCTTTCATTTTTCTTTCAAGTTTCAACATTTTAACTTTCATCACAAATAATTTATAAATTTATTCTTTAAGAAATAATTAATGACATTCAATCATAATTAAATCTAGATATCGGGTGATAATAATTTGGACGGATACGAGATATGTATTCGTTTAATGTGTATCTGGATATCAAATATAAGCAGATACAGATAAGTAAATCTAACGAATATTTATCTGGTTGGCATCTGTAAACTTTTAATGTAAAAATTATATTGGACTAACTACAGAGTTATAAGGAGAAGGCCATAAGCTACATAAAAAAATATGCATAAAAGAAAAGAAAATATGTGAGAAAAATCTGCCAACTTAATACAGATAGTTTAATAATACAAACAACTTTGCGTAATATGTGGGAACAGAACAAGAAAAACATGAATTCCATGTAAAGGGGACACGGCTCATGCGGATTGTATGGCAAGAAAATATGTCAATAAGCCACCTAAGATATATCGATAGAATTGTGTTGTACAATCTGGTGTGTTAATAAAAGGGGAAAATATCATAACGAACTTGAAGAAAAGACCATAAAACGATGTGCATACTGAGTGAAATAACCCAATAAAACATATGTACTTTCAATGAAACACGTTGATTTAGTAACCTACCACTGTAAACGGTGGCAATGGGTAGCAATTATTTGATGGTCGGTGGACAATGGTGCATGACATGATCGACCTCAACGGGGAGTCCTCTGACATTTTCTATGAACAGTTATTTTTGCAACATGACACTTTTTTCGTATAGAAGTTCACTAGAAAACGTGAAAATTTAGGATCGATTTCAACGAGTTCATGGTCAGGGGGAGGGAGTGTGGAAAATTAACACCTTTAGGTGCAATTCTTATCGTTCCTTTAAACATATGGTTTAGTTTCACTGAAATAAATAGTGTCGTACACAAATTTAGAAACAAAACTGGATGAATCATCGTCATTGACGCCTTCACTGATCTACTGTAAAACCACAACCACCAAATGGTTGTGTTGCCGAGGTTTATTTTTTGGGCATGGTCCAACCATTGATCAGAAGTGCGAACAAGGTTACTTTGTAGGTGATGAAACCTAACCAAAATATGCATTTTTGGGGTCTTAAAGTCAAGTCAACCAAGAGTCATGACTCATCAAGAAATCAGAGACAACACATATCAAAATCCTTAAAGTTCTAAAATTTACGCCGACTTCCCTAAGATTACAGGGATGTTTGGTTCCTCTAAATGCAATATGAATGAGAAAGAATATAATAATTAATAACGAATGTCAATGTTGAAAAATGGAAAGTACCCATGGAAATGAGACAAACCCCACTAGGAATCTTTTTGTCGCTCCGATGGGGCCAACGCAACGATTCCTCACAAATTCGCCGACCAAGGATAGGGATGAGTATCCCCGAAAGTTAAAAATCGAGGATGGGGACAGGGGCAGGTAACGTTATCCTCGAACCATCCCTCCCTGTATATTAAATATATATTGTATATTTATTATTGAATATATTGTTTATAAAGAGTTAGATTTGGTATCTTTTAGATTTCGAAATAGTATTTTGACCTTTCTTTTTATATACGTTTATGCAAAATTGTTTTACTTTTTTTAGATAAAAAACCATGGATAGTCGAAAGCATATTGATCAAACAAGTACTTATGATGTTATAATTTTGTTAACATATAAATATTTGATATTCCATAAAAACAAATTTTTAGAAATACGTAAGATTTAAACATGAACCATTTTAGATCGAATTTGATGTTCAATAAATTTGATTTAAAATATCATACATAAACAGAAAAAAAAAATTATCAGTTCCCATTACTGACGAAGATAGGGATGTAATAATATTCTCCGATAGGGAGGTATTATGATTAGTGTCTCAGTAGAATGACTCATTGTCATGTTTTATTAAAGTTTGAACAAAAAAAAAGAACTATTAAGTTATAGCTCGAACATGAGAAACCTAAGTTATATGGGAGAATAAATATTAGGATTTAATCAGTATAATTTTACTGTAAAGTAATTACTAGTACCTCTTAAAACGTCAAAATAAAAATAATCAAAACGATTAAGAGGTTGTTTGTTTACCTCTTAACAGTTCCTTTAAGAGACAATCTTCTGTCTCATTAAGAGATCAATCTTGTTTGACAATAAAAGTCTGTCTCTTAATGGTTCTAAAATCATCTGAATGATTTTGTATCACGAGTCTCCCTTAACCATTAAGAGCTCTGGTTGTTTGTTTATCTCTTAATAGTTTCATTAATAGGCAACATCAAAAAAGTCTGTCTTTTAATGGTTCTAAACCCTGCCAATGATTTTGTATCATGGATATCCCTTAACCATTAAGAGCCCTAATTTCATTGTACAATTACCAAACAATTATATTTCATTTTGCACTGTATCATAAAAGTCTCTTAATCATTATGTACCAAATCATTCAACAATTGTCAAATAACCGCTTAATCATTATACACCAAATAATTTAGCATATGCCAAATAACCCCTAAATTTTAATATTTATTTCGTAAAACTACAAATACAAAATAATTCATTTTTTTTATATATCTTATAAATACAATAATTAATTTGTAACTACAAAAAACCTACTCAAAGTGATGTTTTGGTTGGTTTTGATTTTGGGTGATCTTTGATTTCATCATCGTTAACAACGCTGCTAAAGCATTGATATTATCGAACAGGAAAATAAAGAATACCAATAATCGCCACCACCACCTTCTCATTCCACACAACTCTGATCTGTATTGCAAATCTGAAGCCATGATTGCACTATCAAATCCCTTGGTTCTACCCACCAACAACCCAAATCAATCATCATCTGGTACCGTTCTTCATTCATCACCATTGTTGTCATTAATTCAATTGTTTCATGTACTTTACGTTTGATTAATTTAGCATCAAGTATATGATTTATGGATTCATTATTAAGTGTATTGTTTTTTAAAAAAAAATTGTGTGCATTGATCTTATTTTCATGGATTGGTAGAGTTTGTAAACCCTAACATTTGCATTGTTTCTAGCTGTTGTATCACTCCCAAATTTGTAAATAAGGGTTTCTTTGGGTAGATATGCTTTTAGATCATGTAAATAGTGCTATCCTTTTATTAGATCGCAAGTTATGTAGCAATGTCAACCTCTTTTGTTCCTTAATTATATTTGATGTCATGAATCCATATAAGATTAAACCTCCATTGCAGTTTTGCATATTTTGTTCTATTGGTAAAGTAGCATCATTTGGGTTTTATTTATTATCGGTTTCGCACTGCTGATTTATTGTTGAGTACACATATTTAAACATCTAGGATAAAATATTAGAAATGGTCTTGACCATCATAGGATTTATGGTAGTGACAATGTAAAAGTTGAATTGCAAAATGAGAAAGTTTGATGTACTTATTAGTATGAACGTGGTCATTGAATACAACGTGTGGTGGATATATTATACCCAGTGAAGATATCTATTGTGAAGTCGAAAACATTTAATTTGGTGATAAATTTGTTGGCTATGACTCGATTATATGCCTGCTGAAACAATATTGCAATGCTTTGCTATGTCTTAATGTTGTCTACAAAATCTTTCTTAAACTTTTTTTCCTCGTCTTTAACAATGGATCAACTTTCATAATGCATCACAACACAAATAAATTAAAAGCACAAGACATCCTTAAATTACCTAAAATGTTGTATAGTGAGGCGGTGTGAGTAGGAAAGTGATGGCATAAATATGGACGCCAGCAAGGACATTGTTTTAATTCCATATTTATCTAATATTCTAAAACACATGAGGCTACTTTGTAGATTTTTCATCAATTTGTTGATTGAAAGCATAATCATGATCTCTATTCCCATTGCTCAAGCTCCCAAACATCTGAAAAAGTATTCATTTCCCAATTTTTACTATGCCATTTGTAGTGCAACGAACATATGATATTGATGATAATGGTTACATGGCTTTCTCCTTCACATGCATATACATATAGAAAGATGAGAAAGAATGTCATGCACTCATGAGACTTGTCAAAAGCCTGTTTGATAAGTTTGTTGTACAATATTAGCAAATTGACATGGTACCATCCTTGGGAAAATCTACACGGATTGATGTCCTTGAGAAGTATGCAATATGTATGAATGTAATTACCTAAAATATGCAATTTTTTAAGCATGTTTCATCTGTGGTTGGAAAGTACTTAAAAGATTCAATCTTGGTGTGTGATCTTGTGGTAGGTTCCTCTATGAAATCGCTTGATCAGAGCACCAAATTGTTGTTTGGACAGGGTCATGTGGGTAATGTACGATTACGCACATCCAAAAGGATGCTTTCTGTTCAAGCAAGATACAGGTAATTGTCCCTTGACTTTTTGACGTGTGAGTGTTTCGTTTAATTTCTAAGTTTCTGAAAATTCAAGGTTGATATTATTTGGTAGGGACTTTAGGAGCCATCTAATTCTTTTATCCTCGTTATGCTTCTATGGTTCTTCTGGATTCTTTAACTCCAAAATCGTACTATTCTTGTCCCTCATTAATCTTTATGCTATAGATTGATGTATGGCTGGTTTGGTTTTGTGGAAGACTCTAATGACCAGAAAAGCTTCTGCATTAGGCCTTAACAAAATATGTTTTTATGGCTAATGATTAATCCCCTAGATAACTTGGGCCTTCGATTTTTGAATGTTTTCTCTGTCCTAAAACATTGCAACATTTGACTAAACACATAGTTTGTCATATTGTCCAACTATTATTCCAACACTTGGACAAGAATCAATGTCACAATAGTATAGGTAAACATGTCAGTATAACTTTAGAATTTACCCAAAAACATATTTTTTAATTAATATTTGTCGTAGGACATCCCAAAATGGCAATTGTTGCCAACTTTTTGGGGGGCAGAAGATATCAAAAAGTTACCATGTTCTTTTTACTCCATAAGTTTTCATTACAACTGATACAAATTTGTTTCTTGGGTCGCTTCTGCACAACCTTCACTTTCTTTCTCTCTCATTGCTCATCATCTTTAATTTGTCCATCTGATTCTTTTAAAGCTCATTTAGCTTGTTAGCAGAATGTATCTAGTTTTATTCTACATTGAACTTTGAAACACCCCCTTTTAATTTGCCAAGCATTTGTTGATGTCATACCTGCTTAAGGTTGATATCAGCAGCATGATTTCAACATTGAGTGTCACCAGTTCTGCTATAGATTGCGGTCCAGTTACACAATCAGTCCAATTGTTTATTTTTGATGCTTTTATAGCTTCCGCACTCATATTGCGGCACTTCACTTTTGTAGATACACAAATAAATAACTTTCATCTTATCCAACTAGAAGGTTCTTCAAATATGTATTATTGTTCCCTTAATCTCTATGTATTATCAGTTTCTTTCTTATAAGCATGTTGGTATTATTCTGTAGGAGTAAGTTATTGTCTTATTTATCTCCAGTGATAATGGAAGATCAACTAATGGTAGTGCCTTTGGTTTCGGCTTTGTTCTTGGAGGTTTAATTGTTGGCACACTTGGCTGTGTGTATGCACCTCAGGTTAGTTTAGTGGATCTAGGAATTCGAGGCCAATGCACGGGCAATATGCAGATTTGTTTCATTGCGTTTCATTACCAGCTCTTCCTGCACGTAGATATCAGCATGAACTTTCTACTTAATCAAAGCTTTATTTTGATTTTAACCAGATAAGCAAGGCACTAGCTGAAGCTGACAAAAAGGAGTTGCTGAGGAAGCTGCCCACTTTCATTTATGATGAAGAAAAAGCTTTGGAGGTATACAATCTTTTTTGGATTTTCATATTAAGCGTTTAAGTGAGTCTTCAATTTCTTGCTCAAGTTTGACTCGGCATCTAAAGCTAAAAATCAAGTTTTGTTGGTCATACTCCATATTTTTTGAGTCCGATTTTTTCTTTCTTTCCCTTTTTCTTAATCTTGAGTTGACCCAGAACACCGGACTATGAAATTTGACCAAACCAAACCTAACCGAACCAAAGTCTATGGTTTGATTCAAAAAAATTCAAGTCAACATTTCAATTAACAAGTCCTTTGTTCCATACTCCTTGCATATATTTCACTTCAAGTTGAACCAATGCTATGCTTCAAGGATCCTTTTTTCCGTGAGAACTATTTGAAGTAATAAACTTATTTAATCTCCTTTTTTTCTTCAGAAAACACGCAAAAAATTGACGGAGAAGATAGCACAGCTGAATGATGCAATAGATGATGTATCTTCTCAATTGAAATCAGAAGATGAGGAGTCAAACAAGAATGGTGCCGTTGTTTTTGAAAAGAGTCAATCCGTTGCCTGAGAATATTACTTCCGTGTTTGATCGTCATCATTGTCATCACAGATCTTCAATACCAGTATGCAAGATTTGTTCTAAGAAATAATAGTTGACCCTTTTATGTTCTCTCCTGTTCTTGACTTCAACTTTAAATTATTGATGCAAATTATCCTTTTTTAACCTTGTAATACATGAAATATTTCTTTTTATGTTTTGGATCTTTGCGTTTTTCATGGCAAAATTACTTCCTAGAGCTAGAATGTTCCAATCCAAGACAATGATATAGTGTATGTGTGTATATGTATATGTATATCGGTATATGTAGAGTGAGGTTTAGGGGAAAACCCCCCAAAAAATTGAAAAACTGAGGAACACCCTAATAAACGTTCATATGTACAATAAACAAGTAATTGAAGATATAGTTACTAGGATGTTCCTCGGTTTTTCATTTTTTTGTGGGTTTCCCCTAAACCTGAACCTGTATACGTATATGTATATGTATTACTTGCATGAGTTGAGACTTGACCATGTACCATGAGAGACCTTGAATAGAATTTGTACTGTACAAGTTCCTTAAACATGTTCCTATCTTCATTAGGATTGGTGGTGCCTTAAGCTATGAAATTAAAGGGACCCACTTTGATACACATGGATGCCATGTGGACATGATATCTGCCTTACCTTATACCCTCTCCAATCTTGCCAAGTATTTTGTGGTAAGTTGCCTTTAGACCTGCAAAAAAGCATTTTATCTTATCCTTCCAAACCTGAAGTCCCCTTTATTTTGGAATTTTTCATGTTATTTTTCTGTAATCAAATTCATAGTACCGTACTTACTTTTACAAATTTTAATCTTTTTGTGGCTGTGATTTTTGGATTGAAAGCATGATCTTATCTGCTTCTTCTACCACTCATTTCTTCACCATATTTTCAATCCCATAATCTTATGAAGAAGGAAATGTAGAAGTTATATAAAGTGAGGAGAAGATAGACCTCTGAGTTTTTAGTTGCAGTTAGCCATGGCTTCCAATGCAGCTCTGGCTTCCACAAGAATCCCCACCATCACCAGGCTTCCCTCCAAGACCTCCCCCTCCCTCTCTTTCCCTTCCCAATGCGCCACCAAGGTCTCTCTCTTTCTCTCTCTCTCTATACATATATACATATACATATATATATATATATGTATATATATAATTTTGACTTTTTTGACTTTAATTATTGGTCGATTGCAGAGATTGGACATAGCAGAATTCTCCGGGCTCCGATCCAGCGGGAGTGTCACCTATGCCAAGTATGTCAGGGACTCGTCCTTCTTCGATGCTGTGTCTGCCCAATTTACTCCCAAGGTTTTCTTTTTCTTCCATATATATATATATATATATATATTTATATATATATCTGTGTATGTATGTAGAGGAAAGTTCAAATGAAAACCATAGATATTATGAGAACCTGAAACCAACCATTTCATGTATTATTCTTGATGAATAAACCTTGAATGATCATAATATCATGCATCTTCATTGTGAATATGATGTATATTGATTATGAATAGTTTTCATTATGATCATCTATCACGACATTCATCATGAATAAAGTATCAATAGTTGGTTCTTAGGTTCTCAAAGTATTTACGGTTCTCATTTGAACCTACCCCTATGTATGTATATATAATATCTTGTAGAGGGTTCCATTTATGTGAAAAGATCATATGTAGATTTGAACGGGAGAAACATTGTGAATCAGGCTGCAGGTGCTGTAACAGGCCCTGTTAAGGTAGAGACTGTTGCCAAATTGAAGGTAGCAATCAACGGATTTGGACGTATTGGTCGGAATTTTCTTCGATGCTGGCACGGCCGCGAAGACTCCCCACTCGAAGTCATCGTCGTCAATGACAGTGGCGGTGTCAAGAACGTAAGTGAATGTTACCATGATTGATAAAGGGTACAAGTTTGCAAAGCTTCATTATGAAATTTTGCTATCTCAGGCTTCTCACTTGCTCAAGTATGATTCGATGTTGGGTACCTTCAAAGCCGATGTTAAGATTGTCGATAACGAGACAATCAGTGTTGACGGAAAGCTGATTAAGGTTGTTTCCAGCCGTGACCCTCTCAAGCTTCCGTGGGCTGAACTAGGCATCGACATTGTTATCGAGGTATATCTAATGCAGGAAAGTTCATTTAAGAACCATGAGAATCAACTATTCATGATGAATATATCTAAATATTCCCATTTCTAATGTATTCTTGAAAAAATTTCTTGACGGATGAATTTTGTGTGATGATTAGGGAACTGGGGTGTTCGTGGACGGGCCTGGTGCGGGCAAGCACATCCAAGCCGGTGCCAAGAAAGTCATCATCACTGCACCCGCAAAAGGTGCCGATATTCCGACATATGTTATTGGTGTTAACGAGAAGGACTATGACCATGACGTTGCCAACATCGTCAGGTCCGTTTTACGCCAACTTTTATCGTAGTTTATACGCACAGCATTCACGATCTAAATTTGCGTAATATGATCGTTTTCACAGCAATGCATCTTGCACCACCAACTGCTTGGCTCCATTCGTGAAGGTCATGGACGAAGAATTCAGTAAGCATATGTTTCGTACTTTGAATAAGAAAAAACACCCGTTTTTCGATGCTCGTTTGAGCATCTAAACATGATGCATTCGCCAGTGGTTTAAACTTGCCGATGCATAAAAGACTTGTACTGTACAACCCATTATACATCTACCTAAAACTCGTCGATGGTTCTCTAATTTTTCTACAGCTATCGTGAAGGGGACAATGACTACAACTCACTCCTACACCGGTGACCAGGTATATACATAGGTCTTTGTTTTTTGTAAACCGATAAACTTCCGAATATGTGTAATTGTCTATTTTACCCCTGTAAACATTAGTTGTATTGATTGCTTTGAGAGTTGTGCTTTGGCTAACTTGATTCAGTGTGATACAGAGGCTATTGGATGCTTCACACCGGGACTTGAGGAGGGCTAGAGCTGCAGCATTGAACATAGTCCCGACAAGCACCGGTGCCGCCAAGGCTGTGTCGTTGGTCCTGCCCCAGCTCAAGGGCAAGCTCAACGGCATAGCGCTTCGTGTCCCAACCCCTAACGTCTCCGTTGTTGACCTTGTGGTCAACGTTGCCAAGAAGGGCATGACGGCCGAGGACGTAAATGCCGCTTTCCGGAAAGCTGCCGACGGTCCATTGAACGGAATCTTGGCCGTTTGCGACGAGCCGCTCGTGTCGGTTGACTTTAGGTGCTCTGATGTCTCGTCCACTATCGACTCGTCGTTGACGATGGTGATGGGCGATGACATGATTAAGGTTGTCGCTTGGTACGACAACGAATGGGGATACAGGTATAATGCACTTTTCGGGGTTCTATATTGATTCTCAAGTCTCACAAATCAAAAGTTATTGACTATTTACCGACACAAATTGTGTAAACGTTAACCAAGTTTTTCCAAACTTGTCCTTCCCAATTAAAAAACATACTCATTTCAGCTATGAGAAAACTTTTTCAATGTATTAAGATTTCAGGCAGATTAATCCACACAAACAACTTTATCCATACATGACTTAATGGAAAACCAACTCAACAAGGTGAACAGTAGGTACCCAAAAGGTCGTTTGACATATATATACTTATCGGGGTTTTCTGAGTCTTTAAAGAAGCTAATGTGCGTTTTTTTGTTTATTGTAGCCAACGTGTCGTTGATTTGGCGCATCTAGTGGCGAGCAAATGGCCCGGGGCTGCATCGACGGGAAGCGGAGATCCGTTGGAGGATTTCTGCAAGACGAACCCGGCTGAAGAGGAGTGCAAAGTTTACGAAGCTTGATTTTTTTTTTTGTTTCACAAATCATAATATTTTCTTCTCTTCGGAGGTTGCCAAAAATGACGTCCATCGTTTGGTGATTTGTTTTGTATAATTAAGCATTCAAACGACCATAAAAATTTATATTAAATTTATATTTCATGCCGAGTCAAAGAATATCGAATTTTGTTTGAAATTGTGGGAAATTAGGGTTAAATGTATGAAATAGCAACTTATTTTTATAAATTTCCTTATTATAGTGTTGTATTTTCATTTTTTTATTACAACAATATACTTTCAAATTATTCTTTATTAAGACATCATACTTTAAAAAATCTATCCATTATAGCAATGAGTAACCTGCTACTTTTTAAAACGGTAACCCGTCCTCTTGTTTTTTTTTTGCTTCGTTGGCTTAAGTTATTGGATGAATATGGTAAGTACCAAGAATTATACCCAATAAAGACAAAGACAAGTATTGAAAGTCTTACCCGGTAAATGAGAGCGATGACTCTTATCACAGTTAACGCTTACCGAATAAATTGTTACATTTGATATCATTTTGATGAATTAAAATCTTACCTGATAAGTACGTGATAATATTGAATTTTATCGGTAAACACTTTTTCGAATAAATATTTGGTAAATAGGCTATTCATCACCATCAAACTAATAAATTCTAATACTTTACGTGTAAGAAGTCAGTTGTTTTGGCTTTCGACTGTCAAAAGCTTGCGTGTATAAACTCATTGCTTTTATTAAATGAATTATTTCCGTTAATTTTTTATTATTACAAATATTGTTTTTTTTATTAACCTGGATATTCAACCCGTTTTGTGAGCCGACTAATCCAAGGCAACCACCTGCTTTGTAGGTAGCTCGGAGTCACCGCATTTGAACCTCCGTGCCACAAAATGATTTTTGTTTCATCTTGGATTTGAACCTGAGACCTCCTGACAACCTCCTGACACTTTTAACCCTTGTGGTTAAAATATTGTTTCTTTCCCTTTTCTTTTGTCAAGATCATTGGTTACTAAACAATTATTAGGTAAGTATTTACTGATAAGACTCATCACTCTTATTTACCTTTTACGATAACATCATAATAGATTATTGGTAAGTGTTTTTTACTCGACAAACATTTACCAACTAAGAGTATTTTTTTCTATTTTTTCCACTTAACGGGTAAAATTATACTTATTACCAAATGAGATTAAAGATTAGGGATGGTGATTTGTCCCCACCGACGGGGACGGGGATTCCCCGCTCCCGCCCAGTACTCAATATATAATTTTATTAATATATTTTATATAATAGATATGTGTGTGTATATATATATATATATATATATTATTTATTTATTTATTTTCTAGAATTAAGTCTTGACCAAGGATGATGATCGGGGTTTGACCGTGGTTTAACCACAAAATAAACCGGGGACGAGATATTAATTCCCATACCCACCGGGGACCGAGGCCGGGGCTCGGAGCCGTTCATAGAAACTGGGGCCGGGGATTAGAACTCTGCCCATCCCTGTACCGTTGTCATGCCTATTAAAGACATCGATCATACGCGATTAGATAAGTGGCACCCCATTGGTAAACTTAGAGGTGCTCTCAGGTCGGGTTGAACAACCCAACCCAATGCTTGCAGTTTGAAAATCTTAACTCAACCCAACCCAAACCGTACAGGTTGGTCAGGTTGGTAATTTGATACATTAAAATATTCTTCTAACCTTGAATATGTTATTTCTCTACTCATAACCATTTGATACAACTTATTTGTACATCTTAAATCTTACATATATCACATTTACCAATCGGATTGAAATAGAAATGTGTCTCGATGCATTGCACGAGTACTCTTCTAATATTTTTAAATGGATAGGTTTAGGGGTAGTTTATCTAGGGGTGCTCAAAAACCCGACCAATCCAAGTCAATCCAATGTGAAATAACTCAACACGAAACAACCCGATGTCTAATCGAGTTGTAAAATTTTCAAACTGTAGGTATTGGGTTGATATTGAGTTACTATTATTTGAACTCAACCCAACCCGATGAACCCGATGATATTTTTCTTCTTCAATTTAACATGATTGTTAAGTTTCTATTAATATGTACATTAGACAATTACACTATCATGTACCCTCTTTATATAAACATATTTTTAATCTATTCTCAATCTTTATATAACTCATTCTTATATATGTTCAGTAACTGTGGTTTAAACCGTATTTGAACCTCCGTGACCACAAGAAGATTTTTTTTATTCCTTCTTGGATTTGAACCCATGACTTTCAGACACTTTTGATCTTTAGAGCCCAAATTTAAACCAATCAGGCACTACCTTTGTGATTTAAGCTTTATCTTTTACTGCTTCGATCATCACGACATTTTATAACCGGTAATACTTTAATAATTTTAATTTTTTTTACCGGATTTAATATAAATAAAGTGGATTTAAAAGTTGGGCCTTTACAAAATTATATAATATTCATTACATATTTTTTCTTATTTTCTAGAGCAACCAAAATAGAAATATAATTGTTTATTCAAAAAAGGAAATCTTAGCCGCAATAACTCTCAAGAAGGCCACTTATTATCCGCCGCGTGTCATTTGAGAATACAAGGAACGCACCGCCCTTACCGTCATTTAACAGCGATGGTTTAATGAACCTACCCCTAAAGAGACGGACATCCATCCGCCGTTATATGATGATCCCCAAAATCCAACGGTTGGGATGCTTTTGCAGTTGGATACACAAAAAAGGCAATCATGGATCAGGTCAACTACCAATTATTATCTGACACGTGTTCAGCCTGACCTCGACCAATCCGATGACCTGAAGTTGCCGGTTGCCAACCACACTGTTAGTTTTATTGCATCTAGACCCCTCTCTTTTTAGACTATGTTCACAATTAACCCCCCTAGTTGTATGCCCCATAAAATTTCTCAATTTATTTTGTTCTCATCTCATTTTCTATTAATTCTCTTTAATATTAAAAATCGAACATTAATCTTATTAACATAAACAATTAAATTTTATCTAAAGACACCCGCTTATTTTAATCCGGTTAAGTATTTGTTCGATATTTTTTTGGTTTAATATTTAATTAATCACTATTATTTGCAAAATATTCATCATCTTAAAATTTCTAAGCGCATCACTATAAAAAGCAAAAAAGAATCTATGAGATGAATTATTACGTAACATCAATGTATCGGACATCCATTTCTGTATACAGTTATAAGATTGCACGTATATATCGTCTTTTTATTTGGAGTTCTGTGTACGTATGTGTGTGTGTATATATATATATATATATGGGCAATGTGAATATTTTAATCCAATATTAAAATTTTAATGAAAATGTGATTTGTCTTACGTGAAAACTCGTTAAATTTTTTTTGACTCGTTGGTTCGTTAGTTGAAGGATCAAAATCGAATTTATATTTCAAAACCGTCAACTAATCAATGGAAGTTCAAACTCACGAAGGTTGTATGGATGATGTGTACTTGGAACCTTGAATCAGTACGTAAATGATTAAGAATATCATAAATTATTGTATAAAACTTGTTATTGAAATGGAATTCAGGTGGATATGAGATATTTAATGGGTTAAAAATGTGATAATTCTTTGCTTAGGGGTCTTATTTTATTTTATATAAAATATAGGGGCCTGAATGTATTATCTTTAACATACAAACAAGTACTCCTTTAATTTGCTTTCCTACACTTTCTCTCTCTAAAATCTCATATCTCTCTCTCTCTCTATATATATATATATGTGTGTGTGTGTGTGTGTGTGTGTGTATATGTATATATCGTTCTCTGTCATTTCCATTTCAAGAAGTTTTCTTTAGGGTTAAAATACGCTGACAACTGTGATAAAAGGGCATACAAAAGTATTACAATCTTCGCCTTCAACCGTGAGCAATTTGCTTTCTTCTTTCTTTACCATATTTTATAAGCCTGTTAATTATTGTTATGTTGTCCAACTATACCAAAAAAGAGGATCTGGATTTCTGAAATTCATCATATGGGTATGATCCGTTGTTAGGATATACTACTTGGGTTTTAGCAGATTTGGCTGTCGATTGTTGCTCTATCGACACAACTTCATATTCTATTTTCAACTTTTAGGGTCAATTGTCAAAATTTGGTGGAAAATTTTAACCATAGTTGTAGCGATTGAGGTTTATATCGGAAGTAATCGTGTTTGGATCTTCGAATCCATACGATCAGGGGTTTCGTGGGAACTTTCAGTAGAATTAGAAGAGAAATTCGAGGGAGATTCTGCTTTGTGATAGCTTTTTAGCGAATCTAATTTGAGACTATTTGGGGATCATCACAGTTTTCGTAGCGATCCCAATATCAAAATATTGTAGTTTTTTTCTAGGGCTTTTTCTGTTTTAGTTGGAAGATAATTGGTTCAAACTGGGGGTGTATATGCACCAAGAAAGAACATGGCTGCAGGTACTGAATTTTCACCGGCTTTTGCAATGTTAGAAGGTGGTTTTAATGTGTCTGTTGGAGAAGATGAGATATCACAGAATTCAGATCACTTGAAACAGATGGCTATTCGAAAACCTCCAAGGCATCTATCAGTTGTTCGGCAGAGTATGAGCACAGCAACGCTGCTACAACCTATGAATACGGTATAATAAAGCATATTCATAATGAATAGCATGTTCTGTTGTTTGAAGTTCATTAATCATCCATTTATGGTATTTGTTGTATAGGATTCATTTTAGAAAATCTTGTCCAAATTTCTTGTTTTTGAGCTAATTTGATGAATTAAGATGACTTCCTATTCTTGTTTTACTTTGCCTTTCAAATTGTTTTGTGAAAGAACCCACCTTGCTTCCATGAATGATCCACTTTTGCTTATGTTTTTGGGTGTTACTCAACATACTCTGGCTGACTTTGATAGGAGTTTGGGGTCGGGATTGTTGCTGCCAAGTCAGGGTCAGATGGGAAATCTGAATTTTTGCCCATAATCCGATCGGGAAGCTGTGCAGAGAAAGGACCAAAGCAGTATATGGAAGACGAACATATATGTATAGACAACCTTCTTGAATATCTAGATGGAACAGAAGGTTTCCCTCCCCCCGGAGCTTTCTATGGGGTATGTCAAATTCTTTTACTGCTTCCTTTCTCATCATCATGCTGATTTAGTTGCTGATCTAAAATTTTCGAAGTGCAGTTACAGACACATGTTTTTGTTGTATATATGCATATACATATATAGAGAGAGGGGAGGGGGGAGTTTGGTTGAGAACCTGTATTTTGTTGACAAGCGGGGAACGGCCCATAACCCGCCATGTGTCCCTCTTCAAGATGAATATTCATCATGAAATCATGAATTAGACAGACATTCATGATGAATATGATATAACGTTCATGAGATTATATTACAACATTCATGGTGAATAACAGGTTACAAGTCCATATTTCTGATGAATATGCCACGTGTCACCCTATGGGTAGTTCCTCGATTCTTAATGAAAATGAGGTTATTGACGGAACTTGCTCCTCTATAGAGGAAGTGTGAAATACAAACCTTGTAATTCTTACAAACAAATCTTAACCGTCCATCTAGTGTAATAAATATTTGGTTCCATAAATATCTCAATTGTTTTCTACTCTAAAGCCATGATCATAATGAATCAACCTTATCATCTTCCATAAATATCTTGGTCATAATGAATCAATCATAATTATTGTTTCCTAATATAAGCATTGGTTATGGTTTGTATTTAAAACCTATATATATATATACACACACACAAATACTCGTGCACACTCCACCTTTGGTGAGGTTTGAACCTTTGACCACGTGGGAGGCCAGATACCATTGGGCCGATGACCCTTTTGTTAGTTTCAGATACGTGTTTACTCAAATAGGAACATTGCTCCCGTTGATGTATTGAACCGAAGATTTCTAATTTATGTCGACAGGTTTTTGATGGACACGGTGGCACGGATGCTGCATCTTACGTTAGAAAGAACATATTAAAGTTCATTGTTGAGGACTCGCAGTTCCCTGTTTGCTTGGAGAAGGCGATTCATAATGCATTTGTGAAAGCCGATCATGCATTTGCAGAAAACAGTTCTCTTGACATCTCGTCCGGAACCACTGCGTTGACTGCTCTAATATTTGGAAGGTATGTGAACCCTGCTTGTGTTCTAAGCCTTTAGAATCACCCCAAAATCAATATTTAGGAATTGTGATTTTGAGCAACCTGTAAAGATTACACCTTTGTGATCTTTCCGTCACAGGTTCGAGCTATGGAGACAGTCCCGTTGCTATAAATGCAAGGAATATAATGTACAAAGACTTCTATCAGTAAGGGCGCGTTTGATACGCTGGACATAACAGAACAAAAACTTGTGTTATGTTTGGCGACATTAGACTTAGGGCCTGTTTGTTAGCAGCTTAATGAGCTTAATGGGACTCGCAACTTGTTCGGTCAGCTATACATGACTGTTTGGTAGTGGCTTGAGGATATAGAAAGTGGCTTACTCACTAAGTTTCTAGGGTGAACTTTTTGCAGAAAGTCAAGTTTTTTCCAAACGTGTCATCCCCAATTGAAAAACATGTTCATTCCATCTATGAAAAAAACCTCCCAAACAAAAATCTTCCCAATCTATACGGACTGATTAATCCACACAGACAACTTTATCCATACTGGACTTAAGGGAAAACCAACCAAACAACCCCTTAGGGCATGTTTATTAATAGCTTAATGAGACCCACAACTTATTTAGTCAACTATATATGATTGTTTGGTAGTGACTTATTCAATAAGCTTTTTAGGAAGTAGCTTTATGTAGAAAGCTAAGTTTTTTTAAACTTGTCCCTCTCGATTAAAAAACACATGGCTTCCATTATGAAAATTCCCTCCCAAATAAAAATATTTCCAATCTATACAGATAGATTCATCTATAGAGATAACTTTATCCATATAGTACTTAATGGAAAATCAACCTAACAAGTAACAACCCCTTAAGGACATGATTGTACTAAGTGGGACAAAAATGCTTCTTTTTGTCCCAATAAACTAGGTGGAACAAAAACCAGGGGACGAGACAACATTGATAAATTACTAAACTAACCTTGTCAAATCAAAACCCTAAAACCATCCACAATTTTTTGACCCTCCTACCTCACTCTCGCTCGTCCAGTCTTGTCCCTGATGCTCACTTGGTGCACCAGGGTGGCCTTATAGCTATTTCTATGGCATTGTTATTGGAGTCTTGTATATTAGTACTTGATCCATACAGATAGCTTAGTCCATACAGGTAGTGAATGGAAGTTTTTGACTTTTCGGGTTCGATGAATCAAACTTCTTCCAATTCCTTGACCCTTTGTGTAAGAATAGTCTTATTGTGTTGAACTGATGATTAGTTTATATTATTTCCAACAGAACGATGGTGGTTGCGAATGCTGGCGATTGTCGGGCCGTGTTAGGAAAAAGAGGTAGAGCAATTGAACTATCGAAAGACCACAAACCGAATTGTGCATCTGAGAGACTGAGAATAGAACAACTAGGTGGAGCCATCTACGATGGGTACCTAAATGGCCAATTATCAGTGGCTCGAGCCCTTGGAGATTGGCACATGAAAGGCCCAAAAGGGTCTGCCTGCCCGTTAAGCGCAGAGCCAGAGCTGCAAGAAGTGGTATTAACCGAAGATGATGAGTTTGTGATCATCGGGTGTGATGGTCTGTGGGACGTAATGAGCAGCCAATGTGCAGTCACAATAACAAGAAAAGAACTGATGATTCATAACGATCCAGAAAGATGCTCAAGGGAGCTGGTCCGTGAAGCGCTGAAAAGGAACACTTGTGACAATCTAACGGTTATTGTCATCTGTTTTTCGCCAGATCCTCCGCCACGGATTGAGATACCCCAGACTCGAGTCAGGAGGAGTATTTCGGCAGAAGGGCTGAATTTTCTGAAAGGTGTATTGGACAGCAACTCGTGAGCGAGCACGCTCGAAATGTGAAATCGCGATGCCGATCGGAGCTACGAAATGGTTGATTCATGGTGTTAAATTTATGTACATTATTGTTGTATGGTTGAGGATGAATAGGAAGGAAGGAAGGAGGAGAGGAGTGTGACTGTTAATGTTAACCCCATTGTAAATATTCCATGGCTTGATCTAAATTTACATTCATTTTCTCTAATGATGTTCATGCTGCATTCTAACGGCATCGTTTTAACACTTCCTTAATCCGTACAGTGTTTATACAATGTTGTTTCATATGTAAAACGTCAAGGACTATCCTTTTTCACATATAAAACAATTTAAATGTTTCATATATAAAACAATGCTATATAAACATTGCCCTTATTAAGTATCAAATGGTACCAAAATGGTTCTTCGGGTACTTAAATATTTAAAACATTATATCTTAAGTATCAAAATAAAAGTTTTAAAAATATATTACTTAATATAAGAATCAAGTTAAAATATATTATTTTTCCATAGAATTTATCCTATTAAAACTATATGTTTTTTTTTATCAGGAACATTTATTTTAAAATTGAGGAAGTATAATTTAAAAATTATATTGAGAAAAAAAATAGAAAAGAATTAGTTGAAGGTGTTTCTATTTATAATCGATGACCAAATGGGCATCATCATTCCACACTCATCAAATCATATCATATGAGTGTCTCAACCAAACCCACGTTGATTTTCATAAAAATAAATAAAATGTTAATAATATTTTTTTAAAGTTATTTATAAAATCCATTTATTTGTAAATTATATAAGAGTTGGGTTCACGTGAGACCAGCCTGTTTTCGTGAGACCACATTTTTACACATAAGCTTCATAGCAAAAACACTGTGAATGTTAGAAAAAGTCGAACATTCACAGCAAAAATAATGTGAAGGTTAAAAAAAATCACCTTTACAACATTTTGCTGTGAAGTTTCAAGTGTAAAAAAGTGATCTCACGAAAACAGGTTGGTCTCACATGATCCCAAATCTATTATATAATTTTGGTTGATGATTGTTTCATACAATTATTGAAAGAAAAAGAAATACTAAAAATATACAAAAATATGTATATTAAAAAACTCAGCTTTACTCACATATTAAAAAAAATATTTAATGTTATAATCTATATTATATTTTAAAATATTTGATAAAAAATTTTAAAAACTATTTTTATATATAAAGTATTGTTGATTGATGCATATTATTTAAAATTGAAGATCACAAGTCAATTGTGCGTAAATATAACTTACTAAAACTTCATTTTTGAATTTGTGTAACTAACTATAGATAAACATGATCAAATACAAGATAAACACCTCATTTTTTAATATAAAAAATCTAAAATATAATTAGAACAATCATTAGTAATTATAACAAAATACTTAATTATTTATCTTTATAAAAGGTATACTATTAAACGATAAATAAATTACTTCGGTATTAAATTTAAATTAAATTATAAATAAAATATTGAATTAAAGAAATTACACAATAAAAACTAGAACTTTAAATAGTAAATTTGACACTAATATCGATGATATATATTTTCTTTCAAATCTTTTTGATATCTTTAAATTTATATTTTCCTCAAAAATAAAAAACATTATCGCTTTCTTAAAACCACTAAATCCGTATTATATCAACAGAGATAAATAATAAAACGAAACATTAAAATTGAGATATTATCTCGCTATATTATACGAAACATCTTTCTAGTAATAATAAGATGACATTATTATTCATTAGACTAAATTACACTTTTGGTCCATGTGGGTCTCACACACTATTAACTTTCGTCCTCATTTTAAATTAATTACACATTTAATTATTATAGTTACTCTGGTTTTGTCAGAAATGATGATCGGAGAGGTTTCACCAGACTATTGGTTCGCCGAAAAAGAGGTGGGTTTTGGTTAGGATGGATCAATAGGTTGTACACATGCTTTAAGCATGTGTACATTGATTTTTTTTTTATTAACTTGGATATTCAACCCGTTATACGAGCCGACTAATCGCAGGACGATCATCTGTTTTGCAGATAACCCGGAATCACCGCATTTGAACCTCCGTGGCCACAAGGGGATTTTTATTTCTCCTTGGATTTGAACATGAGATCTCCAACATTGAAATATGATAAACCAAATAAGTAAAAAGATCCAAATATTCTTAACTTGGACTGGGTTTGTTTAACGGCGTTAATCAGATAGACAAAATTCGAAATAAAATGGCAACCAGAGAGACCAAATCCAAAACAACGTAACAATGACAATGATCAAAACTGTAATTAGTTCAAAATATGAATGAAAGTTGATAATGAATCGCAACCATAAGGATCAAAAATGTGATTTACACTGCTTATTATTATACTATTTTTTATTAATTAAAAAATATCATAAATAAAAAATAAATTTAGAAATTAGAATAATTACCATTTTGAATTGGATAAGTTATTAAAAATCTCATTATATCTTTCATATTTATTTATTTTTTTAATTTTGATTAATTCAATTTTCTTATCAGGTTTATATAATTTTCTTAGATACACTTTTGATAAAAAGAACTATAATTTTTATCAAATATCACATGTGACATCCACAGTAGATTCATTATCTATTTCACCATTCTTTTTCTCTATTTATTGGACTCACGCTTTGAAACATATGTGATTAGCTTCGTTTAACATATGATATATTACGTATCACATATGATTCATTCACTATGCAACTATGGGAGAGGAACGGTGATGGAGAGACCGAGGAGTGGCGAGGGAGGGAGGGGGCGGTGAGGGAGCGACAAGGGATCGAGGGAAGAAGAGGCGCAGTTTGGGAAGAATTTCATATCTGCTTTTATTATTATTATTATTATTATTATTATTATTATTATTATTATTATTATTATTATTATTATTATAAAACTGTTTCTGAAGGATGTTAACTCTTATACACGGTTTCTTGCTCCAGCCCGTGTATGAAAGTCTCATTTTATACATGGTTTTGTAGCAATGACCGTGTAAAAAGGGGTGACACCTTTCTACATGTTTGTCATTCGAGTTAAAACGAGTTATAAAACACATTTTATACATGTTTGCCCCCTTTTAGATCATCAAAAAGCATCAAATATTTAGACATCCGTTACCAAACTGGTTTGCCATTCGAGTTAAAACGAGTTGACGTTGTTTGTAATATTTAAGGTTCAACTTTAATAGAAAATCTAATTCAGTTATCTCAATAAACCTTTCCAACATTTAATGGCCAATGCAAATATCTTGAGGGGTCTAGTCTATCTTGTGGTCCATTTGTTAATATTTATGATAAATCAGGATAATTGTGACTATATTTAATAGTGTAGGGGTCCATCTTTTATGAAATTATTTGTTTATAACGTTATGTGTTACACTGTCATCAGGCGCGTAGTTCAACTGGGTAAAAAGGTAGACAAACTTTGCTCAATTAAACAACTGGTTTAAGTTTAAATCTTGTGGGAGACACGTTTGAATCCAACCGTTCACTTCAGTCGTTGAATCGACTCTGAATACCTACTCACATTTGGCTCTGTGTCGGTTTGATCTCTTTAAGCCATACAAAAAAGTAAATATTTCAACCATAAGGGTGGTGCCTGATGAGTTTGAGATTTGACTCCAAATGTCAAAAGTACCAGGAGGTTATAGGTTTAAATCCAAGGAGGAATAAAAAATTTCTTTGTGGCCACGGAGGTTCAAATACGGTGACTCCGGGCTATCTGCAAAGCAGGTAGTCGCTCTGAGATTAGTAGGCTCGCATAGCGGGTTGGATATCCATGTTAATTAAAAAAAAAAGTAAATATTTCATCTGCTACTCTAAAAGATCTTTTCAAACTGTTTTTGTATTAGTTGACCCATTGCTAAGTTTTTACAACATACAAACACTTTGACTACCGATCAACTCGTCAATATGATGTTATTTTTATCAACATGAAACTCAAATGAACAGAATAAGTCTGGTAATGAAAGACAACACTGTATTGTTATCTCGTTTTCTTACCTGTGATTCTTTCTGACGACCACAATATGTATAATTTGTCTTCAAATTGAAGAAGTAAAGAAAATGTAAAACCTTACGGGCATTAAAAACACATCATCAAAAATGTCTGAAAATAATGAATACAATGTAATAACTACAGATGTATGATAGAATGATGAAATACATATACTTGAATGTAAACTAAAAATTACAACTATAATTAAGCGATTGTTTGTTTACCTCTTAATAGTTCCATTAAGAGACGGTCTTTAAATCGTTAAGAGGTGAATCTTGCTTGGCAAAAAAGTCTGGCTCTTAATGGTTCTAAAACCCTTTAAATGATTTTGTATCCTAGATCTTCATTTACAATTCAACGCCCTAATTTCGTTGTAAGTAATTACCAAAACAATTATATTTCATTTTGCACTATATCATGAGAGTATTTTAATCATTCTGACCACTTAATCATTAAAGCATTCAGCAACTACCAAACAGCCCCTTAAAACTAAACTAAAAACTCTCTTTCAAATCCTCTTGACTACCGGTAGCTCATGAGCTATTATGCCAACAAAACAGGTTGTCAAGAGACATGTTTATTAGAATTTGTCTTTGTCCACGAGGCAATATTACATCTTTTTAATTGTTATTTAATATCTGAAGTCTTTGATTCTATTAAATTCACATATTCTGTATCAATCTTTACAGATTTCTTTAGAAATTGACTTCCCATTTGACATATGCTACAATTAATGCATATGAAAGCCCGATAATGATGTAATCTCAAGTCTATTCGACAATATATCTTTTTTGAAGTATTAGCATCTAAAAGGAAAATTGGTCAAAATAGTCATTTCTCTCATATAAATTGGTCTTTATAACCGTTCTTCTCCCTAATTTATCCAAATATCACTATGTATGCAAGTCTCACGTCCACCACGTGCGGACCCAGCTAAAAGACAAAAAAAAAATTATCAGATTTTTTCAGGTCCGCAATTGCGACGGTCAGGTCTACAATTTGATTTTTTTGTCTTTTAGCTAGATACGCAAGTGGCGGACGTGAAACTGGCAGATGCAATGATATTTGGATAAATCAGGGAGATGAATGACTAGAAGACCAACTTATACAAGAGTAATAACTATTTTTACTAATTTCCCCATCTGAAATTCACTTTAAACTTACAGTACAAAGAAACAAAAAGATATAAAACGAACTCATACGTTCATACATTTAAAAAAAAAGTCTTTGAGTTAAATGACCATTTCCCTCATTCAAATTGAGTTTCTAACCATTTCTTTTCCGAGTTAACCCAAATGTCACAACTTACGCAATTGCGGACCTGGATTAAAGCCAAAACAATTCAAATTCAACACAAATATGCAATTGCGACAGCCAGATTTATAAATTACGACAGCCGGGTCCGTAATTACGATGATAAACTGGTTAAATTTGATTTTTTTTTCTTTTAAATATTACGGATGTAATGACATTTAAATCAAACGTGAAAGAAATGGTTAAAAAAACCCAATGATACTATAACATCAATCAAACCCACGATTATCATGCATTAATGGCTGACATTGTTGGCATTGCCCTTCTTGTTTTTTTGCTTGATTTGCATGTTTCAATTACCCAATTGTATTAGTTGGAACAATCATACAATCTCAACTACACCTTTTTAGTATGTTTTTTTTCAATCATGATTTAAATGCATCTTTTTATATTATTAAATGTACTCCACTTATTGATTTTTTTTTATCAGATATGAATATCAAGACTTACTTTTTATATTTTTAATGCATGATTTAACTTAATTCTGACATAAAAAGAATATATATAGCATTACCTTGATTTACTTCAGTAATGTCCTAACTAGGAGTGCTCAAAAACCCGATCAACCCAATCAACTCGATTAACCCAACCAAACCCAATGTGAAATAACTCAAACCGAAGCAACCCGATGTCTAATCTAATTGTAAAATTTTCAAATCTTAGGTTTTGAGTTGATATTAAGTTATTATTATTTAAACCCAACCCAACTCGATGAACCCGATATCGTTTTATTTTCGGATTTAATATGATTGTTGAATTTCTATTATTATATACATTAGACAGTTACACCATCACGTACGCTCTTCATATACACATATTTCCAATATATTCACATCTCTATATAACTCATTCGTGTATATGTTCAGTAATTATGAACATATATATGTGAGGAAAAAACTGAATGAGATATACATAAGAAGTATGAATAAGTTGTATCAAATGGTTGATGATGGAAACAAAAATTATGAGTAGAGAAATAACACATTCAATGTTGGAGGAATATCTTAATGTACCAAAGTATCAACCTCACCAACCCGACCAACCCGTACAGTTTGGATTTGGTTGAGTTGCATTTTGTTTTGGATTGGATTGAGTTAAGATTTTTCAAACCACAAGCGTTTGGTTGATTTGTTTAAATGTCTTCAACCCAACTCATGAACACCCCTAGTCCTAAATGTATTTGAGCCTTTGACATGTTAGAAGGTTAGAACATCTCCAACATGTATCTCTATTTTAGCATTGAGGATAACATAACTGTTAGAGCAATAAAACTGCCAAAATCTCACTTTTATCTATTTTAGCATAGCTGTTAAAGATATTTTTAATAATATAAGTTTTATTTGTTGTATTTATCGTATATCAATGATATATATTATATAAAAAAAATGAAAAGGCAAAGGTGAAGAAATAAATGCTCCACCCCTTGAAATGATGATTGTTTTAAAAAAGAGACCAGAACCAGATGCATTCTCTCTCTCTCTCTCAACAGAATTTTGCATTTCCTTTTTTTATCTTTGCTTTTTGCCTTTTAAGCTTTACTAAAATCACCATATCCATCCTTCAAACCCTAACAACTATCATTCCTTCTCCTTCCATCATTTGCCCCCTCATTTCATCTCTTTCAAGTTTCAGTTTTCACCAAATTTCTACTTCTTGTTGGATCCATCTTTATGCGCAGATCAAGGCTTTTGAATCGAAATACAGAACAGATTTCGCTCTGTTTGTAAAGCGGTGGCCGGAGATACTTGGATGAGGTCAGTGTTGTTAATCTTCGATGGCTTTCATCAGTTCTCGCAGTATTGTGTGTTTCCCTTGAGAGAATTCATCTCGATTTTTCACGCATTTTAGCGCATTGATTTGTGAATTTTCTGCGATCGTATTTACTTTTGGTTAAATTCATCCTATACCGTGTTGTTGAGGGTTTCGTTTTCAATTTGTTGGGGTTTTACTTCTTAGTGCATTGAACTAGGGTTCAAACGTATGATCGAATATGGAATTATCTGAATGCCGATGATTAAGCATAAGAAATTGTAAAACAACAAAAGTTGAAGAAGCAATTGGAATTTGAAGACTAGAAATCTGGATCATGTTCAGGGATGTATGATTCAATATCAGAGTTCGAATCCATATGAATTTGTTTGGCTATAGGAAATCCTATTATATCAAGATTTAGGAAAGTAATTTGAATTTCAAACTTAAAAACTGGAAATATGTGTTTTGCAAAGCAAATCATAGAACAACAAAACCTAGAAAGGTAATAAAGAATCAGAATTCAGATCTGAAAACCATGACATTCCTCTAATTTGGAACCAGTATGGAGTTGATAAATTCTTTGGTTACAAAAATGTAAAAGCATTGTCTTGTCATGTCCCCGTCTAATGTCGCTCCAAACATGGGGCAACAAGTTATTGCTATGTTCTATCATGTCCCTTCCCTTGTACCGAACACACCCGCATTTATTATTATTATATGTTGGCATAATTGTATGTAATTGTAATGTATGACAGGTCTGACGATCCTGATGTGTTTTAAACATTAGAAAGCAAGATGATATCCGAAAGCTTGACGGGTGAGACATCGCTTCATCAAGAACTCGAGGTTCTGAGTGTGTCGAAGCGTCTAGTTAGGAGCCTGAGCCAAAAGTTAAAGCGGAAGAGCCATGATGAGGACGGGATTTCATTGAGGTGTCCGACTCTATACAGTCGGGCCGGAGGTTGCAAGGTCGGAGCTACTACAGGTGAAGACTTTGGGGATATGGGTTGTCGAAGACGTTCTTCGAGTTCGAGTGAAGACGTAAAAGGGTATAAACCCGCATGTGGGACCGACGATACTAACGTTGATTGCTTCTCTTACGGAGGGAAGGAGAGATTCTGGAAGAGAAGTAATCGGAAGATTACGGAAATCGAAGAGCGGCCCGTCTTTCTTCCCGACGATATTGTGGAGATGTGTTTGGTGAGACTCCCATTGACGAGTCTAATGAAAGCCCGTCTCGTGTGCAAGAAATGGAGAATCTTGACGACCACGCCTCGGTTTATGCAGATGAGGCGCGAAGGTCTGTATCAGAGCCCGTGGTTGTTTCTTTTCGGTACCGTCAAAGATGGTTACTGCTCGAGGGAGATTCACGCGTTGGATGTTTCTCACAACAAATGGCATAAAGTCGAGTCCGAAGTTCTTAAAGGTCGGTTCTTGTTCTCCGTAGTCAGCATCAACGACGATGTTTATATCGTCGGAGGTTGTTCTAGCTTGACCAACTTCGGTAAAATGGACCGAAGTTCTGTCAAGACTCACAAAGGAGTTTTAGTGTTTAGCCCGTTAACAAAGGCCTGGCATAAGGTTGCATCCATGAAACACGCGAGATCGAAACCTATCCTCGGTGTATATGAAGTAACCTCCGATTGTTTGATCGTCAAATGTCGACAAGATCGACGTTTGCTCAGGACACGCATTGGTGGAGTATCGGATGTTTACGAAGATCCCCACAGACTTTCTGTTAGGCGTCAGCTACGAAACTCTGTTGACGAAACTGAGGTTTCAGCAAAACCATCCAGACTTTTGGTTAGACAGAAGAACGAGCAGTCAAGCATGAAAGATGTTAGAAGGTTTTTTATCATTGCGGTCGGAGGTGTTGGATCCTGGGACGAGCCGTTGGACTCTTGTGAAATTTACGACTCATCATCGAATAAATGGACGGAAATCCAGAGGGTGCCAGGTGATTTCGGGGTGGTTTGTTCGGCGGTGGTTTGCGGAGGGATGTTTTATGTGTACTCGGAAACAGATAACCTTGCGGCGTATGACATAGAAAGGGGATATTGGGTTGGAATTCATACGAACACGTTGCCGGCTCGTGTTCACGAGTATTATCCGAAGCTTATATCGTGCGATAAACGGTTGTTTATGGTGTCAGTTTCGTGGTGCGAAGGAGATGGTGAAATCGGGAGGAGGAACAAAGCGGTTAGAAAGGTATGGGAGCTTGATTTGAGGTGTCTGAAATGGGAAGAAATATCGAGACATCCAGATGCACCCATGGACTGGAATGCAACATTTGTTGGTCAGAAAAACCTGATTTTGGGGGTGGAAATGTTCAAGATATTTGGGCAGGTGTTGGATTTCTTGACCATGTTTGATGTGTCCGATTCAACAAAGAACTGGATTCACATATCTAGAAACCAAGTAGCCCATCAATTGGATGCTTCTTCATGCTTAACAAAATCAGTGGCCGTTTTGCACTTGTGACCATTGATCGGATGCTTGACGAAATGAACGGTGGTTGTAATTCCTGCAGATAAATCCTTCTGTTTTTTTTCTCTCTTGATTATGAGTTTCGTATTCATTTGTTTGTTGTTGATTTGATTCGTTTTTCTGCCAGAGTCGTTGATCTAACGGTACCCGGATTATTGGTAAAAACCCTGTGCTATGAGTAGTTGTCCTATATAAATATTAAGGGAGGTTCAACGGAAAATCCCTAAAAAAGGATGAAAAATGAAGGAACATCTGGTAACTTACCATTTGTCCGAACAATATACATATGTGCAGACAAGTAATTGAAGTTGTTTTTTGGTTTCTATACATGCGTGTATGTTATGTACATGTGCATACCTAACAAATTACTTATTTGTATGAACATGTGCATACCATATTGGGTGTTTCTTAGTTTTTCACATTTTTTTCCGGTTTTCCTGACCTGATAAATATTATACACCAAAACAGATTTCAAGAATTTTTGATCAAGATAAACAAACAACAATCAGAAGAAATCAACAACACATACAAGTATAGTACCTTTATACTAGAACAAAAACACAAAATACCTCTTATGTACCTCCCTTCCCTCCTATTGCTCCTTAGATGCATCCAGGATGAAACCAACACCAGAATGAGATCTTCATATGCGAATGATAGCCATGAAACCAATACCAGAATGAGATCTTCATATGTGAACACTTGCCATGAAACCACAATGAGATCTTTCACATGTGAATGATGGAAAAATGTTGGACCTTATCCCATGTTAGGGAAGATACCGGAGAAGTTTGGTAACCTGTCTATGTGTTTCAGGGCACGTTCTGCGATTTGTCGTGTTCGATAATCACCGTGTTGGAAGGCGTCAACGAGTGCCGTGCTAACATTAGGATCCCCAGAGACTTCATAGGCTATGTCCTCGGTCCGTAATAGTCGCTCCACGATCCAAACCGCTCGTCTTCTTAAGTTCTCTGTTTGTTTCTCAAGTAACACATCAAGAATAGGTTTGATTCCCTCTGCTTCACACAAAATACTCACCCCTTCTTCTATATTCACCCCATCATCCAACAAACTCGACAATGCCGCTAATGATGCTTCGACCACCTTCTCGTTTGTATGGTCTAAGAGCGCTATTAATCTGGCCATGGCTTGTCCTTCCAATAGACAGAAAGTATCTCTCTGTGTACAAGCCCCACGATGAATCCGACACAAACCCGTCATCACGGGTTGGTTGCTTAAACAAGGAAAGATCGATGCACAAAATCCAGCCGTTGGCAGCTCCGGTAATTTCGTCAGGTTCTTGGATTCTTGGGATAGATTCTCTAAAGCAAGAGCAGAAGCCATTTGCACGTTGTCAAGCCCATTTGTCTGAAGCAGTTGGGTGAATAAGTCAGCAAGGTCGTGATCACGGCAAAATGAAACGGCTTTGGGTTCATCGGCTAACACAAATGTGATCCTAGAAAGGACATGCACGAGTCCTTCTAAATACGGTGTCACAAAACGACTTCTTCTAGTCTCTCCTTGCCGGATCATTTTGATTCTTGAGAAGACGATTTCAAAATCACCTTCATCTAGCATCTGTTTGGTGAGTCCTGCATCCCTTTCGGGGAGATCTGCTAGAATCCCAATGGCGGCTGCTTGCTCTTCGGTGCTTGCAATGTTTTCCCCTATTACTTTGAATAGGCTGCTAAGCTGGCCAGCAGAACCACATAATGAACCAGCCAATTCTTGGCCCATGTGCAGAGAAAGATTCTGGAGAAGTTTTATCGAAGCCATGCGCAGATCTTTCTGTGGAGCCTCGATGAACTGAACCAAACTGATGGTGGCACCGGAGCTTTTGATAGCAGACGCGACCCCAATTACAGTTGTGGGAGAATTAGTGAGCCCAACAAGAACCTGTAGAAGCTTGCACTCAATGGACGGTCCAGTGTTGCTAATCAAATGGAGTAGATTGTGAATTATGTCTTCGGACACCAGGGTCTGATGGTTGGGTCCCACTGGGATTGAATCGAAGTCACAGTCACAACTCACTATGTTGGCCAGGATTGTAGCTGATACTTCTTTTAGTCGCATGGGAAGCTGGTTTGGGCCGGCAAAGAGATCTTTGACAAGAGGAGAAAGTATACCTTCCTCAACCAAGACCTTTGCACTTGCCTCACAAGATGAGACTTGATTTAGGGCTTTTAGGGCAGCTTCTCGAGACTGTATGTCGATACTTTTCATGAGGTTGATCAATGATGAGCCTACCGTTCTTGCCACAAAGACTTTTACGTCATTGCTAAGAGCCAGATCGCCAAGGTATGAAGCCATAGACAGTTTGATCTCGGGAGAACCTGAAAAGTATCCATTTACACCATCATACTCGGCTTTTCCTCTATAATGGAAGGGTAATATAGGCATTAAGATTACTTGTCCACTTCTACATGTAAATTTACTGTTGCATCTTTCATGGGAGAGACTAGAGAGGGAGTATAGATGGATGTGGAATAAGAAGCAAGTATGTAATGCAAGTAGAAACATAATTGTGTGATACTGTGACAGCCAATTTATGATTGATCTATTTTTGAGATGTTTCCTTTGTTAACGAGTAGTGAATTAGCAAGAGCATCTTTCCTAATTTGCAGTGTAAGAAGCGTAAAATGTTGTCACATAGTTTTGATCCAAGACAACCATCATACAAAATCCTCAACTAGGTTAACATGAATGTATTGATCATGAATAGTGTCAGCTAGCAAGTACTAGAATTTGGAGATTAAGAAAAGGAAGCTTCCAAAGCATACTTGGACCTACCATCATCCTGCTAATAATTCATTGTAATATGGCATTACTACTGCAATTTTTGAATTTCTGATTTTGGGTATTTATATTTTTTGCACAAGGTCTTTGCAGTATGTATGTATTAAGTTTACTTGCACCGGATCCTTCACTTGAAATGGATGTGTCCACGTTGCAATGCTGCTACATAAATACCAGATGTGCTTGGTTGAATGCTAGCTCTTTTTGGAGGCATAAGTTTCTCAATACAAACATTAGGTGTCGAACACCATTAATCCAAAAGCAATTATAGAAGCATGTGTTCTATTATAAATTTGATGACTGATTTGAAGATCCGCTAAAATCCTTTTGAGGACTCATGCAACGTTTATCAGGCTGATTAGGCACATGAATACATTAAGATTAGGGTAGTCTGACCCACTGCAGTCTCTTCAACCAAATACTGAACATGACTTATGGGCTAGTCTCTGTTCTTGCTACCTATTTGCTCACAATCTTGCTGGGGGTCTTCACAGGAACAACCACTCTACTCTTTAGATAGAGGTCAGGTCTTAGGACATCTCTAACAACAAACATGATTCAAGTGGGATTTACTGATTCAGTTTGGTTTGGTTACTCTATGACTTATGGCTGCTTGGAAGTTCCGGGTTCAGAACAACTACATATTTTTATCCTTTTTTATAAGTGTGGACCGTTAGCATTGAAACAGTAACTATAGATGCATTCATTTATGCAGACAGGGTTGTAAGTCGGTGTTCTGAAACAGCAACTATGATTATAGCAAGATTAAATAAGAGCTTATGAAGTGCTTTCAGGTATTCTATCAGCAAAGCAGTTACATGCTTGTAATATATAGTGATGGTAAAGATTCCAGTTGTTGGTGGAAATAATTAACTGAATCATGTTTGTTAGAGAAAAAAGGGTGCCCTGACCCCGCCTGTGGAGCAGCAGTTTAATTTAGACAGGAAGGTCCAATATACAACTATGAACTCATTTTTATACTCAAAAGGTAAGCGGATGTGTAACTAAACCATCCTTCTATATTAAGTTTTAGGATGTGGGATTGTGCAGATATCCTAAACAATAACTACGTCTGTTCAAGCTAATGGTTTGAGTGACTTAGGGGTGTTATATATCAAGTGAGTCCATCCTCATATATCAAGTCCCCCCCCCCACCTTTTGAGTGACTTAGGGGTGTTATACCCTGTTTAGTGTGGTCAAAAGTAGTTGGTTTGGTACAAGTGTCTACTGCAGTAGTACAAGTGGGTAATGCAGTTGGATAGTATAAGTAAGAGATTTGAGGATTTAGGAGGGGATTCGGTTTGTAAACCTTTTTCTTGGGCGTGAGTCCTGTGGAGAGATTCTGGCCTCTCGAATGCCAGAAAACCCCCTTGTAAGCATTAGATTAGTGAGAAACATTTGGTTTCCTTTGAATTCAATCTTTTGATTTTCCCGGTTTACATCAAGGGGCTGTTTGTTTTTTACTTGATCAGATTAATGGTGTTGGGGGCTTATCCACTCAGCCACATTGGGGTGTTTGTTTACGACTTATTGATTAAGCCCGTGGCTTAATCGCTTAGCAATCCAAGGAATGATTTATATGTTTAGCCATACTTTTTACACCCACTACCTCTAATAACAGCTCCCTTCACATTTCTCTCATAAAAATAAATCCCCTCACCTTTGCATGGACTCCTCTTCTCTGCTCTCCTTTGCATCGCAGTGTTCTTTGCTCATCGACTCCATCAGGTTTCTTCTCTTCTCTGCTCCCCTCACTGCCCCTACTGCCTTGCCGCCGAATGCTGCCTTGCAAAGACTTGGCATCAAATCAGATTAAGGGCTATTGAAAACCCCAAACCAGATAAAGAGAGATTGGGGAAAAGAGGTTAACAGTGGCGGGGTTGGAGAATTGTTAACCAGTTGACGAAGAGGAGTCGATGCAAAGGTGGTCGATTCACATTTCCTGTTGTAGAAAGCAAAACCCAAACCCAAATCTAAGAATTCTAATTAAAAAACCCTGCACCCTCTATGTTCCCATCGTTTTTTATGTTCATAATATTTTTCGATAAAAACTTCACAGGTTTGTGGTTTGGTAGTTAGGATTGCAAAGAGTTAATTGACAATTTTGATACTGGGGAAATTTAGAATAGTGAAGCACCGTGCAATGCACAATGAACCAAGAAAAGATGTTGGGCTCTATGGATTTGTTGTGGTGTGATCTTATTCCTTTCACTAAAAGGGTCATATGGCCATTTCTGTTATTCAGACCAGTTATTCAGCAAAGAAAAAAACAAACTATGAACATCCAAAAAGGACAACTTAATGGAAAACAAACAAACAACACCTTACATTAATGACTTTTCCAACAAGGTCATACTGGTTTCTTAGGAATTCAAATATTGCAGGTTGGTGTGCTCATTTTAAAAATCATGATCAGCCATGTTAAAGTCTTCAAATTGCATCAAGTAATTAACTGGTACTCTCCCACCCCCCAGGCTAACCCCATTTCTGACCTTCTATATTTATCCAAATAAACTGAATTAAGATAACAAGTGCGCTTGAAGTGAACCAAGTGCATAACTTGCCTTCCCGCTTCTCATTGAAGAAAAAGACAAGATGATATGGACCAGTAAAATAACAACTACTGAAATTATGAAACTTTATGGTAGTACCTTCTAGGAGAAGTGTCAAAAGAGGCTGCAATCTGCCATTTTCAGCCATTTGCCTCACGTTATTCTCGTTCTTCTCCAAATTTTCCAGAGTTTTGTCAGCCTTCTCAACGATCAAAACATTTTCTGATTTGCTGCTTGTCATTCCAACTAAAATAAGAATTGCCCCATTGACAGAGCCAATTTTTTCGCATAAAGCCTCAGATTTAGATAGCTCAAAGAGCAACGAGACAGCTTCTTCCCTTTCTTGGGACTGTTCATTAGACAAGAACTTGACAATTGTGCGCACTTTATCCCCTTCAGCCATTATTTCCTGCAAAGGCAGAAAAAAACAGCGATTATACACAAGTAAAATGTTTGATAAGAACCAGGACAGTCAAGAACGGTGATATATCAATCAGTCAACAACCTTATTATCATTGTCATCCTCTACCACAACTCGAAGAGTCTCCAGAGCTCTACACCTGACTTTACGACTGGTGCTCTTCAACATGTCAAGAATCATAGGTATGAGCTCAGCATTACGGATGATGTGCTTGTTTGAAAGATTTTTTGTGCAAAGTTGTTGAATGAACTTCAAAGCCTGCAAAATATCACTTTCAACACTACCAGGAGTTAAAGACTTGCAAGCCATGTCAAGCTGAACGGCATCATTCCTAGCATTCCATTCTTCAATTGTGTTCCTCAAAGCAATACTTGGATTCATGTCCATTGTTTTTAATTCTCTTAATGTCAAGGGGCAAACCAGCTTTCTTCCATTCTCCTTGCAATCGTTGAACCATTTTTCAATAGCCTCTCGCTCAAAAGTTTGCCCATTTTCCAGGGTAACAGGGTCTCTCATAATTTGTTTTGAAAGAGGGCATATGAATGCATCATAAATCTGCTCAATGTACTGTCTTTCATATTGAAAGCTATCATCTGACTGGCTGCCAAGGTCACGACTTCCTTTTCCGCTTTCAGCCATTAGATTCAATGTACCTTGTGAAGAGAAAAAGTAAATGATGATATCCCGTACGAAACTATTACAGTGATCATAATCTCAATGTCCTAATACAAGAAAGAGAAACAAATAATGAAACCACAATGGAAAGCACAACCAAAGTAGGTGTGATACGAAGGATAAGCTGTTCTACAAAACACAGGTATCTGCAATTATCAATACCCAGAAAAGCTTACAACATCAGGGTGCTTACAATTATAGTAAAAGTGTAAGACTATATGTTATAACTTCAAAAAGAAGGTATATTAACCTTCATAAATAATTTTGACACGAAAGGTATAAGACAGCTGAACAGGTTTTTACCCTGTGTATGCGTGAAAGCATAGCAACTGAACCCAATTTCCTTGTCTCAAGACTCAATTCGGATCATCTTATAACTTGCTTAAGTTATTGTAAGAGGGAAGCTTAGGGTAAAAAACCATACTTAAACATCAAAAGGTAAAAACATGTATAGCTGAACCAAAATATACCATAACATGACCAAAATGGAAGTTGGTGACAATTGCTTAATCTGAGGATAACTAATACTTGTACACTAATTATTATTTTTGGATGAAAGAAGAAATTAGTGGATAATATTTGAAAACAAATTGCTAAAAGGAACTCCTGGTCCAGTTGCATAAAAAAAAGCTTTTATGGTTACAGCTGGCTTTCTCTGATCATCAGAGGAAGAGCAAATTCTGGAACCCTAATCTTGACGTTGTGAATTCCCAAAATAGAACAGACATCACACTTGTGTAAATATTATTTCTTTTATAAACTACATTAATTACGTTAACCAAAGTGCACTCGAATATGCATCAGACTTATGTATCCTTACGTAAAAATACAAAGGATTACAAACTCTTGAAAACCTTTCAATGCATGTAGTCTGCAATTCTGCGTAAGCATTCTTAATGGCCTGCCCCAAGCTAGGATAAAGGAAGATAGTGTGCATCAGACAGTGTAAACCAGCATTGTATCAAGCATTTTCATGAACACCGTTGCATCAGAAAAACAATCCAGTGATTCAGAACAAATTAAAGACAGCTTGGATTGGGAGTAATCAATAACTGTTTAAAGCACAATTGGTCTTCAGCATCTAAAATTAAACCCTAAGAACATTTAAATAGAATGAGATATAAGAAACCTCATGAAAAAGGAGAGCATTACTTCAATAGAATCTAAAATAAGATCTGAAATCAACACTTAAATTCTACTACAGCTACAAACATATATGCATACATCAGAAGTGTAATATTCAGAAAGAAATCAAGTGTATTTACCTTTATTTTTTGCTAGCTCAGTGGAAATTTCACAAAGGTTGTCACCTTAGCCTTGAAATCTATTCATGGATGCAGGGATATCACACCTACACCAATAATAATAGAAGATTCAACCAATTTCCATCGATACACCCATCTATCTTAACCAGATTGATCATATCAATTCATATGGGACTTAAAAGACATAAAAAATTCATAACTTCAATCGAGAATTCAACAAAAAATATGGAGAAGTACGAATCCATTTAGCAATACTCACGCAGTAACCGTAATCATCGGACCGTTATATCATCTCATCAGATCAGAAACTCACACAAAAAAAATTCCCTATACAACTTGCAAATTATAATTACACAAACCAAATATATATATATATAATAACACAAATAAATCAAGCAAATAACCTTCAATTGTGGCAAACACACTTAAAATTATGTGAAGCTTGCTTGATCCCTTTTAGGTTTGGCAGTCATCTACACCAATAAAGAAATGAAACTAGGGTTCCTTTTGCAGAGTGGATTGAACACCAAAAGCTGAAAGAGAAGCAAAGGAAAGAAGTTGACAAAAACCATAAAAGTTAACCAATGATTTTCACCAACTTGGTGTGATAAATAAGAGCAAATTTTTAGAGAGAGAAAGATGGTTTTGCAGTCGATCACAATGGTTGTCAAGTTAGACTGTAGAGAGAGAAGATAAGTGACAATTGTGTAATTCTACAGTCTCTCTCCGGTCCACATTTTTCTCTACCATGGAATTTGATTATTTCTGATTTAATTTAATTAAATTTAATATTGAAAGTAAATAAATTATACCAAAAAACAAATATTTATATGATCACATCTTATTATACATTTTCGGGGTGTTCAAAAATTTGATCAACCCAACACGAAATAATTCAACCTAAAGAACCTGATGTCTAATTGATTTGTAAAATTGTTAAACCGTAGGTATTTGGTTGATATTGGGTTGTTATTATTCGAACTCAACCCAACCCGATATCATTTTATTTTTTGGATTTAATATGATTGTTGAATGTCTATTAATATGTACATTGGACAATACACTATCATGTATGTTTTTCATATACACATAGTTTCAATCTATTCACATCTTTATATAACTCATTCGTATATATGTTCAGTAACTGTGAACATATATATGTAAATTGAGAAAATTAACTGAATGTGATATACGTAAGAAGTATGGATAAGTTGTATCAAATGGTTGATGATGAAAAAAAATTATGAGTAGAGAAATAACATATTCTATGTTAGAAGAACATTTTAATGTACCAAAGTATCAACTCGACCAACCTGACCAACCTGACTAACCCGACCAACTCATATGGGTTGAGTTGGGGTAAGATTTTTCAAACTGCAAATATTAGGTTGGGTTGTTCAAATATCTTCGACCCGATCAACTTAACCCGTGAGCACCTATAATACATACAATCACTTTTGATCGTATATAGATTACATATTATCGTAGTTATCTTATACATAATCACATGTGATTATGTATGAAACCCATTTTTTATCACTAGATTGCACATATCACGTTCGTAAACCAATATTGTATGTTTATGTATATTATCAAATGCAATGGTATACAACTATACATCATAACATCATTGTTATTTGATTGTTCACAAATCACATGTGAATATGTAAATGATTATAGTAATTACATAATGTTACATAAATAGATGAAAAGAAATAGGATTATGGGTGCTCATTAATGGAAATCTTAATCATATTATAAATCATTTAGCAAAAGGAAATTAAAACAACTTGGTAAGAATCGATTATAATTTATTAGAAGTGTATTTGGGCAATGCAGCGAAATATATTTTGATTTTATTGTTTTGTTTTATTCTTTGATTTTTTCGATGTTATAATTCGGTTTTCTGTGGTTTTGAGAAAGCTATAATGGTTTTATGTTTGAATAAAGTATAAATTTGAAGACTTCATAAAAAAATTTAAAAAAATATCAATATTAGTATCAGATTAACAATTTTAAAAATTATCGATCTTTTATATAATTTATTTAATTCAATTTTTTATTATAATTTAATTCAAATTTAATAACGATGTGATTTATTTTTGATTTAATAGTATATTTTTTATAAAGATAATAATTAAATATTTTGTTATAACTCAATAATTATCCTAATTATATTTAATATTTAAAACGAGATGTTTATCCTAATTATATTTAATATTTAAAATGGGATGTTTATTATGTAGTTTGAAAATTTGTAATTTATATACCATTTACTTGTAATATTGAGTTTTAATTAATATGTATCAATAAATAGTATTTGATGCATAAAAAATGGTTTTTTAATACTTTGTTTCAAATATTTTATGATATAATATAGATCAATGTAAATATCTTAAATTTTGGTTACATATTATTTTTTATATACATATACTTCAAAGTTATATAAAATCAACTAATAACTAATTGACAAACTCCATAAATTTACCATGTTTTTTTTAATCGAAATTAATTTAAATCAAGATTATAAGAGGCGTGGCATGATGGCAATATCAAGTCTCAAGATTTAGACATAATGTTTTGTAAGACATGGCATAAGATGACATATATATATATATATATATATATATATTAAAAGTGATCAAGGGTCCAGATCCCTTCTTACACCTCTCCCCTTAACGTCTCTTCTCACACGATCTTTCGTGTGTGTGTATATATAGGGGTTTAATCATTTGAGAACACATTAAATTGTGATAACATCGAAAACTTGTGCACCGTGTGTTATTTCATATGATTTTTTTCTATCTAGGCATACTATTAAATATTTTGATTAACATATATTTGTTTCACAGTGTGTTTGTTTTATATGCATTCGTTTCAGAGTGTGAAACTTTTTTACGTGTATTTTGTGTTTCACAAACACATCAAAAAGTTCACATTATGATCCAAGCACATGTGAAGCATGCACATAGTGAAACACATATATGTTAATTAATATTCTAAATTATTGTCTTTGTTTTAAAAAAAAGAACTCATATGAAATAACACACGATGCACAAATATCACAATTTCATGAGTTCTCAAAAGAATGTCTCCCTCTGTGTGTGTGTGTGTGTGTGTGTATGTGTGTGTGAATGTAACACTCTATCCCATATTTGCATAAAACTCACATATTTACATATTTGCATAAAACTCACATATCAAGTACATTTTATAACTCAGCTTCCACAAAAATTCACAGATGTAAAGCTATAACATATCCCTTCACATCTTTCCTTTCTCTTTATCTTTCACATGTGTCTGCCCTGTAATGCACATTTTTTAATAAAACGAGTGTTAGACCATATAGTTTAGTGAGTAATCCTCTTGATTGTTATTACAGGATGGAAATCACCAAAATACTTTCTGAAAAGCTAATATTTATAAAGATTACATATAAATAATATTTATCCCATCTTTTTGTCTCATCATAAAGATGAGACAACCAATTCAGTATATTACAATAATAAGATAACCCATTTCATGCAACCAACAGACATAATAACACGTTTTATCGCATTACAAGAATGCGATTACCCTTTTTGTTGCATCACATAGGTGTGATAAACACAATTTGTCGCACCACAAGGATGCAGTAAATATAACCTCTCGCATCACAAGGATGCGATAAACTCATTCCTCGCATACTAAGGATGTGATAACTCACCTTTTTCGCACCATAAGATGTGATAAACCATCTCATCGCATCACACTGATACGATCACTTCACCTCATCACATCATATAGATGCGATAACACCAGTCTCATCTCATCATACAGATGTGATAACAGTATCCCATGATCAAAAGATCATCATTCACAAAATAGTTGATTGTGCTCCTGATTATGTCATCTTTATTTCAAATTCACTTAGCTACTGATTGTGCCACCTTATTACAAATTTACCCAACTCCTAATTGTGTCATCTTTATTACAAAATATACATTTTTTCTGATTATGTCACCCTTATTCTGGTCAATTGATAATAACATATCAAAACCCAAATTTATACTAACACATAGCAATTAATCATGTCCGAAGACACCCCATTTAAAACTATATGGTTCTGTAATAAAAGCATTTCAATTAAAACTTTGAAATAAAACTCACCTTGAATCACAAATGGATAGCAAATTTAAACTAGCAACGAAAATCAGATAAAACACGTGAGCTTTCTTTTTCTTTCTTTCTTCTGTTTCTTTGAACCCAGGAGCCAAGACATAGGCACCAACTCATGTAATTCACATATTTGCAACATTGACAGGTCAAATAAAAAATAGAGGGGTAGTTTCGTAACTTTTACAAATAGGCGACAAAACAAGTGAATATGCAAACTCATGTAATTCACATATTTGCAACATTGACAGGTCAAATAAAAAATAGAGGGGTAGTTTCGTAACTTTTACAAATAGGCGACAAAACAAGTGAATATGCAAACTCATGTAATTCACATATAAACTATTTAACTGATCACATATTAATTAATTAATTAATTCACATATGTACTTGTTTGTCGCCTATTTGTAAAAGTTACAAAACTACCCCTCTATTTTCCACTTGACCTGTCAAAGTCGCAAATATTGACCAGTCAAAACCGCAATTCTTAACCAATATTAACCGTATGAAGGGTTAAGATCACTTATTTACTTCTCAAATACTTACCATTTCTCAAATGAACCTCTCCCTAATAGTTTAATATATTAAGTAATATTTTGTATTAAGTTTATAATTTAGTTACTTTGTGTTTTCAAATTGTAAATTATATTTGAATAATTTTTTCAATAGAAATGAAAATTAGTAAAAACTAGAATACGAATAATCGACAAAACTTTTAATACATAAAAAGAACATTTGTATAATCATAAAACAATTAACGAATGAAATTTCATTAGTAAAAACTTTAAAAAAAATATTGGTTATAATTATGTACCAAGATAATAATATAAAACTGAATACAATAACACAGATTTATAATGCTGAAAATATAAACTAAGATACAAACTAAAAGTTTGGATAATCGATGTTTCGTTGAATAATTTTTTTAATATAATTATTATTGATTATAAATATTAATTACATATTATAGTTATTATTTTTTTGACATAATTATATATTAATTATTATGTTTTAATAAGATAGTACAACAATAAATACATATATCTATACTATATTATAAAATATTTGACAAAAACTCTTAAAAACCATTTTTTATGTATGAAGTACTGTGTATTGATGTATATTACTTAAAGTTTAAGATTACAAGTAAATTATGCACAAATACAACTTATTAAAGCTTCATGTTTGAATTCATGTAACTAATTGTGGATAAACATAATCAAATAAAAGATAAATATCTCATTTTAAAATATAAA